TTTGGCAAACAAGCACGCGCACACCAAAATGGAGACATGACTTTGCTTGCAAAAAAACTGCAAACTACAAGGTTTCTACAGTAATCTACAGTAATCCAGAACACCATCCCGTCAAATTTCAGACAAAAATTCGGAAAAATCGAAAAAGAATCTTCAACAATGGCTGAAAAATCAAAAAAGGCCTGAAAATTTTGCAAATATCTAAGAAAAAAACCAATTCTTTTCTCGATTTTCGTGCGTTTTCAGGCAATTTTTTCATATCAAAGACTTCAATTTTCCGACATTTTTGGGGAAAAATAACAGCAAACCGAATAAAATTTAGGTTACGGTAGTCTTTGTTGTGGGACCTTCGGCCACGGCCACCCGCGTTTCTCTTCCACAGATCCCATTTTTTCACCAGCATAATAAACATTTTTTTCCAATTTTTTACAGAGACGCCTTCATTGATTCCAGAGATCCCTTCCTTCGTTTTGTGTGCTTTGGACTCGGCGCCCGCCCTTATATTTTTTATTCTTTCTCCACAAAAGACTACGGTATCTCTATTTCTTCTTCTTCATCACCTATATCTGACCCCTGGAGACATTATGATGTGATGATCACGCTCGGGACCAAAACGAGGATCCTTGTTTCATATTTTTTTCTTCGAAAAGACCCCCACTTTTTTAAAAGAGCGTTTTTGGAAAAGTCTGAAGATAGAAAAAAAAAGTGTGCAGTGTAGGCGAGAGAGAGAAAAATATATATCCATCTTTTGGGGTTGGAAAAACGGTTTCCCCGAGGGACACTCATTTTATGGGGCGGGAAGAGGGAGGGGCAGCTCGACCTGGAAAATGTGGGTGTCTATGTTATATATCCCTTTTCTCTCATTTCTTGTTTTTTTTATTTCATGTTTCGGTGACTGATTGAAATTGTGGGTGGTGGTGTTGGTGTTCTATGGATTTAAGGGTCCATTGAAATGCGCACAAATTTAAGAGTAACTGCTCGTTTCAATTTTAAACACGTCTAGATTTTTACTACGATAGTTCTCCGAAGTTCGTGAAAATATAAACGTCTTCATTGCCCACAGATGTTTCTTGTCCTATATTGAAAACCTCGTATCTGAATGGGGCCAGAAATGTTTGTGCTCAGTTACAGTAACCCAAACCCAAAAACCGTAAAATTTGAGCTCAATTATCTCGGTCCCAATAAGAGATATCAAAAAAGAAATACTGTAGAGCCTGTAAAAGAAGGTCCCTACTGTCAAGTTTGAGCTCAATTATTTTGGTTCCTTTAAAAGATATTAACATTTAGTCAACTGATGAATTATTTATCATACTATCACCAATATTTCATCAGTTGACAAATTTTTTATATCTTACACAGGAATCGAGATAATTGGTCTCAAAGTTAGCTGTTTGGGGTGGGATTCTATTAGAGTAAATACGGTAATGGGGCCGGAATACAGAGATTGTGCTCAGTTACAGTAACCCAAAAATTGTGTTTTCTCGTAATATCACATTCAAAACAAGATCCCAATTTGTCTTTCTGAGAAGGCATGACACGTTTTACCGTTGAGATCATATTCTCATTTACCCAAACTCATATGTTTTTGTTCTTCTTGTTTCTCATTTCCCTAGAAACCTCAAAAACGTCATTATTCTCACTTTCAAAATCTAGATCTCCTAAACAAAAAAAAACTAAAAACGATCTAGTCTCAAAGTTCTCTCTCCTAAATTGTCATCTTTGATGCTCTCGCATATTTTCCTTGTTTTGTACCATCTGTTATTGCCCCCTATCCCCCATCCTTAGCTCCTTGTTCTTTTGAAGAGCAACATTGTTTTTGGTTATTTCCTTTTTTCAAAAACACATTTCTCATCATCATCACAAAATGGGACACGAACTTGACGTCAATCGAGGGAGTTCTTTCGTGGGCAATAGACCTGATGATCACTATTATCCCCAAAAAGAAAGCAGATTTAGAAAAAGTTTCGAGCACTAATAAAATTCGGGTCGTCGTCGAAGCAATTCTTTTTTTTACATATTCGTTAGATCATATTTGACGTCTTCTGTGTTTTTTTCGAGTCTCGTGTTACCTGTTTTTCCAATTTTTCACATTTTGTGAGGTCATAACTCATGTTTGTGGGTTTTGAAAAATAAAGAGAATCTCGGGTTTTTAGAATGGGCCAGAGTCCATTTTGAATATTTTCCTACCGTAACCCATTTTCTAATTCTTTGGATTCTAGCAAGTGAAAGCTGTGGAAGTGAAACGCCCAACTACTGTAACTTAAAAAGATTGACATTTTTTGAGAGAAAAGAGAAAAACTTTTTAAAATGTGATTTTTTGCAAATTTTGAGACCTTTTTAGGGTTTTCAGCTATTTTTGAAGATTCTATTTTGATTTTTCCGGTTTTTTGTCTGAAGTTTGATGGAACGTTGTTTTGATTACTGTAGATTACTGTAGAAACCTAACTTCTTTTTGTATTTTTTTGCAGAAAAAAGTCTGCATTCATGACGTAATTTTGCTTGCAAAAAATTCAAGAGGAAATTAGTTTTCTACAGTAATCTACAGTAATCTTCCGTTAAGAACATCATTCCGTCAAATTTCAGACAAAAAAATCGGAAAAATCGAAAAAGAATCTGCAAAAATTGCTGAAAAACCAAAGAGGTCTAAAAATTTTCCGAAAATCAAATAAAAATGTTTTCTCTCGAAAAATCGTTTAATTTTTGGGTTACGGTAGTTGTTGTTTTGGGCCTTTGGTCTGATTTTTCGTACCAGAATACGAGCTTTTAACATTTGAGAACGACTTTTGTACCTTCAATGTTTTTTGCAAATAAAATTTTTTTCCAGAAAAAAGCCAAAACCTAATCTGTCAGGATTACGGTCACTCTCCCTCGAAACACATTTTGGTCTCATTCGATCTGAATTTCTCATTCATTCAAAAAAAATAGCCAGTGTCCATCTAGAAAAGCACTTTCCGAAAGTGGAAGATCTGCCCCCGTTCATCACCATAATCCGAAACTATAACATTTCTGTAAATAAAAACAGAAAAAATGGCCCCATAGATCGCATAGAATCATCGTAAATGTAAATGTGCTGAAAATCCCTCTCTGGCATTATATATCCATATCAATTAGAGGAGACTATTAGTGTCAGGGACGAGAGACGGATTCGAGAAACTATTATCTGATAAGATGATTAGGATCAGTCAAAGGTAGATGCTATAAAATGATCCAATAGGCGTGTGATGGCTTCAGAATTTGTGTATACGAATTTTCGACTTTAAAGTTTTCTTCTGAAACTCTAGCTGAAATTCTGTTAAAAAATGAGCATTCTTTCTTAAAAATCTGACTTTGAAGGATGGAGATTTTTCGAGTTTTTTTTGGTACGCATTCAGATTTTCGGCCATTTTGACCATTTTCAGGAGTCTAGAGCTCGGCTGTCAAGTTTTCGATCACTTAAAAAATTTTGGAGGATGTAAAAGAGACCTAGTCTGAAAACTTTGAATTTACAGAACTTTTTGAAAACTACTAGTTTTTCAGTTATTCGCCGATTTCTGAAGAACACCTGCTTTTTTCACTTTTTCAGTACAAAAATAGGAAAAAAAGTTGTGCCCTTCAGGATTTGGCAAAAAGCTTAAAAACTAGGAATTTTAAAAAATTCTGTAAATACAAAGTTTTCATGCCCTTAGAATGATTCTGAAATTGTTTTTTTTTTTCATTTCTGGAACCATTGCCAAGAAAAGTTTTCTTCTGAGCCATTTTAGTTACGGTTCCATATTTTCCAGTTATTTTTCAAAACACCATACTACATAGACTCAAAATACGAAATCTAGTTTGATCCTAGTTGAGAAAACAAGATATCTTAAGAAGACTTGTGGGATTACGGTAGCCGTCTTAGCTTTCTTATCCATACTTGCACCACTCAAGTGACGTTTGTGTTTTACTATATTTAGCTGTCTTTTCAGAGTGAGTACGTACTCTATAAAAACTACAGTAGGCATATACAAAGAATTCTGAATAAAGGTCAATACATTTTCTCATGTGCTTTTTCTTGTTTTCTCTCAAAAATTCTGAGAAATTTTGGGGAATCTGACGCAATAAAAAAGGACCAAAGAGAAATTGGGGTCCTTTTCTTTATATGTTCCGTTTTTCCATTTGGATTTTGTTCAGAATTATTGTAAAAAATCCTAAATATATTTTTCTATATCACAACCTCTAATCCATAGATCGTCGTGGTATCTTTTGCAATTACAGATAAAGATCTTTATATGAGCGTCGTATGACTATTTTTGTCTGCGTTTCTTCCAATCCTACTCTAATGTTGTGTTGAACTGGAAAAAAAATACACAAAAAAAACATTTTAATCGTTGGCTAATGCTAGGAACTCATTTCATAATGTGTTTTTCAAAAAATAGGTTTTGGCTTTAAAATCAGAACAAAAAATCATGCAGAGTATGCCCTATAAATTGTTAGTTTTTTTTCAACTTTTAAAATTCCTTCTTTTTGAAAAATGACTGAGAATTCCAGCTTTTGCATTTCCAAATTCTTTAAACACGGTTTCCTGAAAGTCTTGGTTCTATACCGTACTACTTTCTTCAGTTACCATATTTTCTATAGATAATAGACGCCAACTCTAACCGCCAACTTTTAACCCTTATATCTCCTTTTCTGTGAAAGATATCAAAACGTAGTCAACTAACAAAATACTTGTGATATTATGATAAACAATTTATCAGTTGACAAAATGTTGATATCTTTCACAGAAAATGAGATATGGTGACGGCGCGGCACCTCTATCGGTGGGCGCCACTCTTTACCTATACACTTTGAGCTCAATTATCTCGGTTCCTGTGAAAGATATCAAAATTTGTCAACTGATAAAATATTGGTAATTTTATGATAATCATTTTATCAGTTAACAACTTTCTGATCTCTTTTACAGGAATCGGAAAAATTGAGCTCAAAGTCAACGGTTTGGGTGGGCGTCTATTAGAGAAAACACGGTAGATTGTTCGGATTTTGATAAATGAAGCTCAAAAACTCTTTTTTTGTCTCTCTTTCTCTTTCTTTCTCTCTCTCTCTCTCTCTCTCTCTCTCTCACATTCCTACCGTAGTCATCCTTCCTGAAAAAAGCTCTCGAACCAAGTTCAAAAGCTCACGAATTCTGCCTACCCCAGACAATTTTTTTGGGTAATATCCGGAATGTTCGTTTACATTCTTTAGCCTTTTTAACCCGTTTCCTTCCTTCCGCTTATTCCTCCTGGGAACAATTTGATTGCAAAAACCCCGCGACGGAAGGTCATTTCTCACTCGTTTTTCATGTTCACCCCCATCCCCGTTTTTCCGGCTCCTCAATCAATTTAATAGGTTTACAGTGAATATGCCACGTCTCCACGTGGTACTTCTTTGTCTAATTTGGGCTAATTCTGCTACTGGATCAATTCGTGTTCAGTTGGCAGACTACGATAAGGATAGTTGGCGAGGCGTCTTGCAGCGAGTGGCCCCCGATTGGGTTCTCGAAGAGTTTCCAGACGTGAGAGTTAGCAGTGCAGCTGAAAACGGTTTCCAGCTTCCCAAAGCTGGAAAAGCTCAAATTCAAATCAGCAAGCATGGGAAGAAGGTGATTATCGCCAACACTCCAACCGATGCGCTAAATGCGATTCATGTAAGAGCCAAGATAAAAATTAGGTCGCTACAAGATAAAGTTCTAGACCTATCTCCGAAGTCAATGCCTTTCTCAAGTCTCCTGGTCCAACAGTTCTTTCTCTAGTGGCTGCCGGAAGCATACCAGCGATTTGTTGACTTTTGAATCCAAACAGTTCGTTTTCCACCGATACTTGCCCTTTGAGCTCAATTACTTCAATTGCTTTAAGAAATATCAAACAATTGCTCACTGAAAAAAATCTTTATCATAATATTGACAACATTTCATCAGTGAACAGATTTTTGATATCTCTTATAGAAATTGAGATAATTGAGCCAAAGTGCATGTATAGAATGACCCACAATTAGAGGAAATACGGTTTCTGACAAGAATTATTCAAAACTTTCAGAATCCGTTACTTTGGAAACATGTGCACCTTTTCCTATTCATTCGCTTGGTGGGAGTGGCCACAATGGGAACGATTTATCGATTGGATTGCTTTGAGTGAGACTAAAACCTCTAAGATTCCCCTAATTTATAATTCCAGATGGATTCAACACTGTCCTAATGCCTTTGGGTCAGGAAGCTATCTGGCGGGATGTGTTCATGGGGCTAGGTGTGGAGAGAGACGAGTTGGATGCTTACTTTACATCTCAGACGTACTTAGCATGGTGGGTACCAGATATTACTGTACATGTAGCTGGAGATTTGAGGAACTTGAAAATTACAGGCATCGAATGGGAAACTTGAAGGGGTACGGTGGCGGTTTGTCTGATGCTCAAATGCTCAATGATTTCAATTTGGCTAAACGGATAATCAATAGACTTTTGGAGCTAGGCATCACTCCAATTCTTCCAACGTTTTCTGGTTTTGTTCCAGATCGGCTAGAAAAGTAAGTTAATTTTTAGTTTTTTCCCAAAAAAGTTTTTGTTCCAGACTCTTCCCAACATCAAAATTTAATCGCCTTCCGTGCTGGAACAACTTCACCTCTGAAACCTCCTGCCTTCTCTCCGTTTCCCCATTCGATCCACTTTTCCAGAAAATCGGATCTTCCTTTTTGAGACATCAAAAGAAAATGCTTGGAGGGGACATCACCAACCTCTATAGTGCTGATCCATTCAACGAGGTTCTTCCGAGTGACTCTGCCAAATTCGATGCCAAATTTGTAAAACAAACTGCTCAGGCAATTATGAATTCCTGCCGAAAAGTGGATAAGAATTGTATTTGGTCAGTCGCCAAAAGTTTTAAAAAGTTTTAGAAATATCAATTCCATTCCAGGGTCCTCCAATCCTGGTCGTTCACTTATGATCAATGGCCAAACTGGGCAATCAAATCGTTCCTCTCAGCAGTTCCAATCGGTCAAATGCTCATTCTTGATTTGTATTCGGAAGTGGTGCCAGCTTGGCAAATGACGTCATCGTTCCATGGACACAATTTCGTTTGGTGCATGCTTCACAACTTCGGTGGATCAAGAGAACTCCGCGGAAACGTTCAAAAAGTTGACAAGGGATATCAGTTGGCTCTGATGAAAGCTGGATCAAATTTGGTTGGAGCTGGACTCTCTATGGAAGCAATTGATCAGAACTATATGATGTATCAGTTCATGATTGATCGCATGTGGACCCAAGAACCTATTCCTCTGAATAGTTGGCTGAAATCGTATTCCGAATCTAGATACTCCGCAGATTTCAAAGTGGCTCATAAGTTTTGGACCATTCTCGCTGGTTCATTCTACAATCAACCAGAGAAATGGGGCAATCCTCGGTTCTCTGTATTCCTATATCATCGACCAGCGTTTGGAAAGAAGATTGAGTATTGGTTCCCAGTAGAAGAGACATTCACTCATCTGGAATCACTTGTTCTATCTCTACTTCATATTCTGGGAGACCATCCATTGTTCAAGTGGGTTTTTGAAAAAATTGATTCTTGTTTTCATGATTCCAATTTTCCAGAGAAGACTTGAATGACGTCATGAGAGCTATAACTCAATTTGAAATTGGAAATGAGGCAGCTCTATCTCTAACTGAAGCATTCCTAATGGAAGACAAACAACAAATCGGGACGACGTGCGAGAATTTGATGGGAATGTTCCAAAAACTGGAACCCTATTCGAACAGGGATGTTCGCGACTGGATTGGTAATAAGAAAACCAAACTTTTTTGAATCTTTTGATTTCAGAAGATGCAAAATCAATTGCTCCCACCACCGAAGAACGCGAAGTATTCCCGATCTCCGCTTCTGACATCCTCACAGTTTGGGGTCCAACCGGTCAGAACCTTGACTACGCGCATCGCGAGTGGGCGGGACTTCTCTCCGGATACTACGGACGGCGATGGCAATACTTTTGTGATTGGATTCTGGAGCATGACGTCTTCAATCACACTGAATTTTCCGTTTCTGTATTCCGCGATGTAGAGAGACCGTTCTCGATCTCAGCAGTTTAATTTGTGAAATTTTTGTCTTTAATTTTCCACAATGATGAAAGTTTGTTAATAAACTCACCGTTTTTTTAAATATTCAAAATTTCAGAATTTCAAAAAAGTCAAATAGAACTTTAGCATTTTTAAAAATCTAAGCGGAATCCTCCATATCATCATCTGGTTAATTGATCATAATCTGTGTGTTCTAATTAAGAAGACGTTTATAAATGACGTTCATCATGATTAATGGATCACCATATCATCATAATCCTCCCTTTTTGCCAGTCCTCACGCTCCGTCCATCGGTTTCTCCTCAAAAGAATGACGATGCAATCGGTGACGAGAAAACTCGCTAAGCGCTTCTTCTGCCAAACATTTCCATGGTTTTTATTCGTCGTTTTCACCAGGCAATATGATTTTTTTTCGAATTCTCATGGTTTGAATTTTTTGTATTGGTCTCTTGAACTTTTCTGGAATGTTTCGGTAAATATTACGGTAGCTAAGATAGGGAGTTTAAGTTTTTTAAACCTTTAAAAAACCTGTAATAGAAGGGCCCGCACACTGTCAAGTTTGAGCTCAATTATCTCGGTTCCTTAGAAAGATATCAAAAATTTTGTCAACTGATAAAATATTGGCGGTTTTATATTAAACTATTTATCAGTTGACTAATTTTCGATAGCTCTCACAGGAATCGAGGTAATTCAGCTCAAAGTTGACGGCTTGGGTAGGCTTCTATCGGAGGAAGTATCAGAGGTTCAACCTGTTTAATTTTCATCGGTTCTTTTTTTATTTTACAAAATAATGCTCAACTTTATCAGTTGACATTCTTCTCGCTCACTTCAAAAACTGTGACTGGAACCAATCCATTCAATTAGGTGTTTACAGTAACACTCATCCTTTCATTTTTCTGGTTCCTGCAAACTAACTATACGATGACTAAACCCTTATCTAATTACCCCTCCCATCTTTTTAAAAATACGACCTTGTAAAGAACAAATGTTCATACATAAAATATTACAAACATATGGAAAGTCGACTGCAAGAAAATCCAGTTGGATCTAAACGGAGATCTCTATCTTTGAGTTAATTTTATCGAGTCGGAAACTAGAAATCTGGAAACTTCTTTTTCTTTTTCTTTTCCGCTTCAGATGGCATTCGGAAATGATGAAGGGAAAAGAATCGGTTACGTAAGGTTGGAAAATCGAAAATTGAGAAGCAGAAGCTTGTGAGGTAATCGAATGGATTTTAAAACAAGAATACTGTAGGTCAGATAGCAATTTAGGATTGGAAGATTTTCCGAAAATTGATTAAAACTCGGATCTTGAAAACCTACGACTTTTGCTTTTAAATTTACCAAAAATTAATTTTTTTTAATTTTTTAATTCCCAGCCTGATTGGCGCGCCTCTGACGCTTCAAATAGCTGGCTGGTGCGCCTTCGGCGCGATTTAACCTTGTACATTCTCTTCGCTCCTCACTCTTTCCCAAAGGGTCACTCCAATTTGTACTCAATTTCCGGCGCCTTGTCACTTCGAAACCGCGACACTCCAAAACCAGTCATTCCGAAACCGGTTACTTCGAAACCGTAGTAATATACGCGAATCTCGATGAATTTCAGACTACAAAAACACTTTTAGAGTTTTCAAATGTGACTTTTCTGATATATTCTGAAACTCGAAAAATTCAGAAAACTTTTTTTAGTCAAAAAAATTAAATTTTAATTTATTTTTCGGATTTCGGAATGCGTTATATCAGAAAACGCATATTTGAAAACTCTAAAACTGTTTTTGTAGTCTGAAATGTATCTATTTTGTCCATTCAACCGATTGCTCATTTATTTTTTACACTTCCAAGAATTTGAAACCCTTCACAATACATTTTTGTGTCTTTTGCATGCTATACATTTTTTGTACCATCCCATTCTTTTATTCTCTTCTATTGTCCAGTGCCAATTTTAACGATCTGCGATTCTCACACCTCATTTTTCATTCTCATTATTCAATGTTGACTGACTACTGAGGTGATCAAGGTGAAATGGAGAAAATACGATGAAGAATAGAATAGAACGAACAAGAAAAAATTTGCATTTTCATAGATTTTCAACACAATAGATCATCGACCTCATTTTTTCGTTGTCGAAGAAAAAAGTTCCTTTGAAAAAATTCGGCTGATCGAAGCAAACAAACTTCTAGAAAATTCTAGAAAATTCTATTGATAAAACCAATTTCCAAACGAATCAATCCTCCTTCTTTGTGTTGCAGTGTATTCCTTTTTTTCATAGATGTTCTTGTGAAACAAAGGAAAGATCAAGCAAGGAATCTGTAGTAAACCAACTTTTTTTTTTGGAGTTTTATTAAAAAAAGAGAAAGGGGAACCGTAGTGACACACACAATCATAAACAAGAGGAAAGAAGAAGAAAAAGGAAAAAGTTAATCGAGAGAAAATGAGGACAGTTTTAATGGTTGTTATGGCGTTGGGGGAACAGAAATGGCGATGGTGGTTTTGGAAAATGCCATACCGTTAACTTTAAGCCCATATATCTCGATTCCTATCAAAGATATCAAAAAGTGGTCAACTGACTAAATATTTTTGATATTATGATAAACATTTTGTCAGTGAATCACTTTTTGATATCTTTCATAGAAAATGAGATATAAGGGTTCAAAATTGGCGGTCTGGGGCAGTTGAGCTGGTGGCGGCGCGGCACCTCCAAGGATGGGCGCCGCCACCCTATACTTACTAACTTTGAGCTCAATTATGTCGGTGCTTATTAGAAATATCAGAAAGTGGTCAGCTGACAACATTTTTTTGATAATATAATCAATATTTTATCAGTCAACGACATGTTTCATAATAAATGAGATACATTGGTTCAAAGTTAAGAGGGGGTGGGGGGGGGGGTTGGTCATCAGAGTGTTTACGGTAATTGAAGATTGTATTAATTAGGACTAAAAGTACGACATCAGAAAAACATTTTTAGTGGTTAGTACTATTTGTGTGGTTAGAAAACTGTAAACACTTGATAGAAGAACTGCTCTTTGCAAATGTGAAGAAGAAGATTTAGTATGGATTTGTAAAAAAAAGGGCAGATATGGGATGAATGATTTTGAGAAGCCCAAATTGTTAAGATTCGGGTCTTGAATTGAAGAAGAAAAGCAGCAGACAAAATAGAGCATATTTGAATGTTTTTTGTGACTTCTTGTATGATTTGAAATTTGTTTCAAAAAATTCACAAAGAGTTCTCTCTCGTTGGTTTTTCCACCCACAAATGCTGTTCAAATAAAGCAATTTAAGCTGCAAAAATGTTCATTCCAGCTGATCTGATTCCAAAACTTTGAAATTCGAAACTTTTTGATTTTCCAATTTCGCATTTATAATTTTCCAAATGCTGCTGGTTCATTTTTAAATTGGAAATCGGGAAGTTACTGCTGCAATTTTTCATAGCATCCCTGAACAGTTTGTAACTTCCAAATATTCATGAACATGTTCCCCATTTGGAGTGTGTCATTGTAATGGAATCAATCTCTAATCTATGTGATCTGCATTCACTTTTTCCATTTCACTTACTTCCTTTCTGAAACCATCTATAATTTGAAATGACACCTCCTCTCCTCATTTTCATATCAATCACCTCATCTGAAAACACACTGAATCACATGTTTATCATCTGAAGAATTCGTTTTTTTGACCCTTTTCTCTTTCTTCTCTTTTCCCCTTTTTTTTCTGAATAACCATATAACTTTTTATTATCCGAATCCCCCCGAACACACTCGTTTTTATCTTCTGGATTCCTCGATTCATCATTCCAAACGAAATCCATCGTAAAAATCGTACGCTTGTTCTCTATGTATCTCGCGGTGTCAGTCAAAATTCAAAGTGGGCGTGGGTTCCTTTTAGATCCGCCCACTTCGATGACGTCCACTGAAAAAAGAGAAAGGAGAGTATAAAAGTGTGTGGACGGTGAGAGACTGAATGTACCATCTGTAATTTTTCTTCATTTTCTGGTTTTAGACCTTCTTACCAGATGATTCTGATCATATCTAATCAAGAGTGTGATAAGTGTTAATTTAATTTGATAAGAGGGGATAGTTTATTTTGAGAAGGAATGCCCCCTACCGATCAGATGCTTTTCTTTTTCATAAGAAGAGATACTGTAGGTACCGCAAAACCTGTGGACCTCTATCTTTCAAATTTGAGCCAACTTTTCTCGGTTGCTGTAAAAGATATCAAACATGTACTAACGGATAAATTTTTGGTAAAAATACGACAAACATTTTATTTGTTGACACACTTTTCATATCTCTGCTAAGCACCGAGATAAATGCGCTTAAAGTTCTGGCAGCAGAGGGCTCAATCTTTGAACTCAATTATCAGGGTTACTGTAAAAAATGTATATAAATTGTCAACTGATAAATTGTTTATCATAATATCAAAAATATTTTATCGGTTAGCACATTTTTGATATCTCTTTGAAACTTTCCAGAACTGTCCAATCTGTTCTGTTTCTAATAGCATGATGCCATCCAAATCTCTTTCTTTTTTGCTAATGCAACAATCTTCGCCAAAAATCTAAACATCTCAATCCATAGATCCAAAAGAACCGATAATAAACATGCATGTCGCGTAACTTCAAAAAAAGATAAGACGATTTTTGAACCTGAATTCCTAGTGTCCGTTCGGTCCCTCCCTCCATCGACTAGTTTCTTTCCAAATCCCTGAAGCTTCTGTCGGAATGCCCACTGATCAACCAATGTCACTTTCTTTTTTCGGGGGGCTTTTGTCTCTTAATTATTTCTTGTTTTTGTCTATTAGTCACAGTGAGTTACTTACACAAAAAATGTTGTCAAGTATCTCGGTGACCTCGAAATAGAAGCGTTTCGTTTAGGGGGCAGGATAACAAAACGATATTTGTGAGAAACAATTTGGTTCCTCGTTTTTTCTCGTTCCTTGTTATTATACTTTTGAATTTTTCTATGTAGTTTTTTTTCTTTCAGCTCCTCCACACAAAATGCAGACAATTACACTTTTGGCTCTTCTTGCCTGCATTGCTGTTCCAGTAAGTGAATTTAGACTATCGACCGAAGACCGAATTTTTGCATTTGCGCGTCGACATGCCGGAGAGTGATTGCGTACGCAGCATTATATTTTACGACTCACAATGCCGCTTACGCAAACACTGTCATGTTGACGCGCAAATTTACAAATTCGGTTGGCTGGGTCGGCGATTTTCGACCAACCGAAATGGAAGACTCAACTTTGAATATATTTAGAATCCAGAATTTTTTTTTTTGAAAATCTGACTTTCAGATCTTCGCCGATTTCGACCACCTTCGCGCCAGACGTGACGTTGTTGAAGCTTCAGGAGAAGGATCCGGAGAATCATCTGGAGAGAAAATCGTAGAATCTTCCGGAGAAGGATCCGGGGAATCTTCTGGAGACAAGATCGTTGAGGCTTCTGGAGAGGGAAGTGGAGAAGGATCGGGAGCCTCTGATGCTGTTCTCGAATCATCTGGAGAAGGATCCGGAGAAAACTTGAGCAATGGAATCGTTGCTTCCGATGCCCCAAAGGACGTGAAAGCTTTGACCGCTTCTGAATTCGCCGTCTCCGTTTAAGATCTTCATTTTGGTTTCTTTTTTTTTAATCATTGAGTCTCTCCGTTTAGTAACTTATCGACAACTTTAGTTGTTGAGCCCCCACCCCCTTGTATTTGTACTTACGGTGTAAAAATACAGAAAGAAAAAGATTAAAAAAAAGCATTTTTAAAGAAAAATGAAAATTTATACAATTCGTTAAACTTCATTCAACAATTCGGCTTTCGGCGCGAGTTCGGTCAACAATGACAACATCATTGCAGTCGCTGAGAGTGTCTGAAAATGAATTAGACGTTTTAGATTAACTAGAATGACTCACTCCCAAAATAAGAGGTCTCGATAAAAGGGCGAAACCCCAAACAGAGACGCCCAAATCGAATTGTTCCATATGAGAACAAAGGGTGTTAGCAATTAGGTATACTTCTTTTCGATATGGGAACCAGATGGATCGGTTCTGGCACAGATAGCCTTTCGAGCGACAGATCTGAAAAGTATGAGGTGCTGAAAGTCGTGAAAAAAGTACAAGTTTTGAAAACAGAAGCTTCATTCTATAGTTCAAAAAAATTCCGGTCTTCTTTAAAATTTCCAGGCTCTCGCTCAAAAATTTTTTTTGTATTTTTCCCATTAAAATGTTCTTTATTTATGTACTACTCTGATCTAATTTCAATTCGAGAGTGGGCAGACTCCTTAAAGGCGCATTTAAAAACGCAAACCCTGTAATAAAAGGACCCTCCACACTGTCAAGTTTCAGCTCAATTATTTCGGCTCCTATAAGAGATATCAAAAATTAGTTCACTGATGAAATGTTTGTGAGATCATGATAAACAATTTGTCTGTTAACAATTGTTTTATATCTTTTACAGAAAATGAGATATAAGGGTTCCAAGTGGCGGCGCGTCACCTCCGAGGGTGGGCGCCACCCTATACCCAAACACTTTGAGCTTGATTATCTCGGTTTCTATGAGAGATATCAAAAATTTGTCAACTGATAACATGTTTGTTATTTTATGACAAACAATTTATTAGTTGACACTTTTTGAATATCTTTTACAGTTATCGAGAAAAAATGAATCGAAGATAAGAGTTGCGGTACTTTTGAAATTATTTCCTCGCCTTTTTTATCACAAAAAAAATTAGAAAAAATAGACCGGAAAATAATTACAAAAACACCAATAGTTTTTCGAAAAATACAGAAAAATACGACCAGAATAAGGTAAAAAAGTCTGAAATTTTGAATGAAAAAACAGCGCACACAGTGGCCTAGGACTAGGATTCCTGCGACCCTCTTGAACGAGGCCTGCATTTTCGACAGTTTTCAGTGATCTCGATTTTTCTGATTTTTTTTTCAAAATACTATCATGAAAATACATAAATTTGGTAGCATTTAAATGAAAAAAACTTACCTCATCGTGCAACCTTGCTGGAGCAATTGTAACAGCAAAGAAACTAAATGCACACAATCCAATGGTTGGCATACACAGAACCAGATCAAAAAAGGAATGAATTCTATGGTTCATCATCATTAATGTGAATATCATTGATGGTATTGTTATCACTATCATAATGAAGGTGTAGAGCTGAAAAATTGCTAGGGAATTTCACTAAAAAATGAAGCATCTCTCACTCTGAAAATCCTATCCAAATGTCTGATCACCGAAACCAAATCGCTATAAATCTCCAAATGTTGAATCAACTTCTCTGATGCTCCGGCTCCGGAACCATTGAATTTTGAGATTTCATCATTGAAATATCTCATCTCTAACATTGTTGCATTGGTGTAGTGGATTAGAATGAAGAGAGTCATATTGAACACAATGTAGAGATATGTGGTGACAAGAGTGTACAATGGGCGGAGAGTCGGGTAAAAGAATATCTGAAATTGTAGTTGGAATTTTCAAATCTGAACTTTAAGGATTTTTACAAATGACTGTTTCTCCTGGAATTCGGTATGCTTCTCTTCCAAATGATACTTGGTTGCGAGAGCAGCCGTTATGGAGCAAGTCAGGAAGATTGCAGAAAAGAAGCATCGGGTTGTCACTGAAAGTTTTGATCAGAAATACATTCAACTATTAATTTGGTACAAAAAAGCAGCGGATGAGAAATGCCGTTGATCATGGCCGGAGGTCCCACAACAACAAATACCATAGCTTACTATCGTTAACTAATCGGACCGTAAGAACTCACTGTATAGAACATCACTGTAAAAACCTAGTTTCTTTATGTATTTTTTCGGAAACACAATCACGTCAAAATGCAGATAAATTTTGCTTGTAAAAAAACAACAAACTACAAGATTTTCTACAGTAACCTACAGTAATCTTCCGTCAAGAAAATCATCCCGTCAAATTTCAGACTAAAAAATTCGGAAAAATCGAGAACGAATCTTCAGAAATAGCTGAAAAACCGAAAAAGGTCTAAAAATTTTGCAAAAAGTTGAAGAAAAATCAATTTTTTTCTCAATTCTTTTGCTTTGGAGCTTACCGGTAGCGAAATTCTTAAAGGCGCATTTAAAGGAACTTCTATTTTCCTAAATATTTTTTGTGGCTTATTTTTTTTCGATTTTTCGGATTTTGTAAAAAAAAAGTACAAAATCGATGAAATTCGTCAAAAAACGGGAAAAAATTGACCAGAAAATAGTTTAAAAAACACATGCTCTTTTAAAAATAAGGATTTCGCTACCGGACCTAAGCTCCGCCCACGCTCGAATTTCCAGTGAAATTAGATAAGAGGAAAAGCAATAAAAACCGAGAAATGAAATCCAGAAAATAAACATATTTTAGGTTACTGTAGTTATCGCTATGGGGCTTCGGCCACGGCCCTCCGGTTTTTCTCTTCCACAGCTCCTATTTTTTCGTACCAGAACAATAACAAACTTCTTACCTTCCACATACTTATCTCCATTCTCACTAGCCAATCCTTTCAAATTCTGACACTGCGCCAGTTTTGACCTGAACTCCGACAAATGTCCATAAACTTGCCAATAAATTAGAAAACCCATTGAAATCAATGATTGAACTGCCCACAATATAATCAGAAGTTGAGCAGCAAGCTCTGCTGATAAATGCCGAGTAGAGAATGTGATTTTAATGTTGAAACATATTGAGTAAGTGGCTGAAGTTAGGATTTGTGAAGTCTGTGTGAAATTCACTGACATCTATACCTATCAGAAACATTATTCCTGCCAGTGCCAAATTGATTTTTCTAGTTGGTCCCGGCTCGCGTAAATCGATCCTGAGACATTTTGCAACAAAAAATACATAACTTCCGAAATGTTTATGATGATGGTTGATAAGCTCGATTTGTTCCTGTTGAGATTTTCGTGGTTTGTGCTCTTCGGGAGGTACGATAAGCACTTCTTGCAGCTCCATTCTAAAAATAATTGAAATAATTCCGTGATGAGAAGATTTCTAAGTGCAAGATATTCTAGCTGTTTAGCAAAATATTATTGGCTTGGAGGCTCTGGAAAACCTTCAAACTTGTAATAGAAGGGCCTTAAATTCTAGCTTTAATCAACCTTTTCTTGGTTACTGTCAAAGATATCAAAAAAGTTGTCAATTGATAAATTGTTTATCACAACATCAGAAGCGTTTTTTCAGTTGACACATTTTGGATATTTTCCATAGGAATTGGAATAATTTAGCTCAAATTTAGCAGTTTGAAGGCCTTTCTATTACAGGTTTTAAGGTACCGTATTTTCTCTAATAGAAGCACAGTCAAACGGTCAACTTTTATCTCATTTTATCTCGATTCCTGGAAAAGATATCAAATGTATCAACTGATAAAATATTGGTAATGTTCTGATAAATAATTTAACAGCTGACCACTTTTTGATATCTCTCACAGAAATTGAGATAATTCAAGTCAAAGTTGACGGCTCGGGTGATATTCTCAGATTTGAAAAAAACTGTGTGGAAGAATTTTTCCACTTGAAACGTTTTCGAAAAATGTGTGAAAAGTAGTTAAAAATGTGATCAAGAGAGATCGAGCCGCCAAAGTGCGATAAACGACAAATGTTGGAAAAAAGAAAGAGAAGGGAAGATTGATGGTGTCCCCCACCTCACTGATGTTATCATTTTTCCTCTGAGGTTCCATATCAAAAATTGCAAAACTTACTCATCGGCATATCTCACTCGTTTCATGCTATCCTTTTGTGCTTTTTTGGTCAGAAGGAAGATGCAAATGATGTCTCTTCTCTTTTTTGCTATTTTGGTGTAAATAGAAAAATGGGTTTTGGCTCTTTTCACTACATTAATCCTTCATTTATCTCGCTTTTCTCCCAATTTCAATATCGACCAAGTGCCGCCCCCATTTTTTCCTTGTTTTTTCGCAGCAAATTTCAATTTCAGGAAACTCAAGATCATTTATTCAAGAGACATGGAAAAGTTTGGAAAAGGAGAGACAAAGAAATGGTAAAAGAAAAATTATATACAGGGGAAAACGGGTAATAAATAGGCTTGGAGCCAAATAGAAAAATGACAAGGGAGATTTCATTGGTTCTTTTTTCGTTTCGACGCTTTCCAAACTGATTCGGCTGAAAAAAATTGAATTGGGCATAATTTGTTTTTAGAAAAAACTTTGTTTAATTTTACATATACCGAGCTGATTATTTTAAGTCTAGTTTTGGCACCTGACAAACCGTGAAACCTGTATTAGAAGGGCAGGCCCTTCTATTATTCCAAGGCTCCTGGACGTGTCAGATCCAGACGTTTCCGAACCACGATGTTTCAGAACTCGACATTTCAGAACTTTCTGCATTTTTGCGCTGTGGTTTTTGCACACCTTGCTGACTTTAATTTGTTGTTTTTTACTGATTTTTCATTGATTTTTATTACAAAAGTTCTGAACCGAAGTGTCGGTTTCTGAAACGTCGTGGTTCGGAAACGTTGGATTCTGAAATGTCCAATAGCCTGTTGGGGCTTTGCAATTAGAGGGTCCATTCAATTTTTTCCGATTTTCCAGTGAAATTTTTTTTGTAAAGTTTTGGAATTTTCGTTTTCAACTGAAAATGTAGCGGAAAATTTCAATTTCGAACGACATATTCTGAAAAAGGTCTTTTAATTTTCCAAGCCCTTCTTGGAGGGCCCTTCTAATACAGGTTCTCATTCCAATTTACAAAAAAAGCTTACGCTGCTCCACAAATTTATAGTAGTAAACGACGATGACAACGAGGAGAGTCATGAATAATGATGCGTATAGCGTATACCATTCACCCGCTTGGAATGTCTGAAATTTAGAAAAAATCTCAAAAATTATCCGCTGGGCATAAAAAATTCTTATTCGAAACTCACTACTTCCCCGGCTCGATGCCCATTTATTTGCGGCATTTAAAAAATAGTAAAAAACTAGCGCGAACACCGGAGTATAATCGATTTGTGGCCTGCACCCAGACAGCAATGAAAGAAGAAGAAGAAGCCGAAGCCCTCTTTCTCTGTCCCATTCTCTCGTTTTCAAGAACTCTCTCGAAGCTTTCTTTCAGCGAGAGGGGAACCTCCCCGTTTCTCCACGGCTCATTAGAATAGAAAAAGAAGGAAAAGAAGAAGGAATGGGATAGAGGGAGGATAGATGGTTTGGGAGCCAAATGGATTAGGAATACGGTTCTAATTTTTGTTTAGAAAAAAAGGTTCAAAATTTTGGAAAAGTTAAATTCTTCCTATCGAAAAAACCTGGAATATCAGGGAATATCCAGGGCCGAACAATCTCACAATGACCTACAGTACATTTGAGCTCAATTATCTCAGTTTCTATATGTGATAACAAAAATCTGTCAACTGATAAAATGTTACTGATATTATGAAAAAGTTCTATCAAATGACACATTTTTGGTCTATTGTACACCCTCCAAAGTTTTCAAAGTGCTCGAAGACTTGTCAGGAGAGCTCCAGACTCCTGAAAATGGTCAAAATGACCTAAAATCAACTGAAAAAATACGTTTTGTATATTTTTTTTGACCGGTACTGTATATTCTTTAAGACTTATGTTACGGTACGTTTTTATTATTCTGTTTTATTCAGTTTTGTCATCTCAGATACTCTACCGTAATCCCCAAAACTAACATGAATCATCGTCTAGTTTTTGGTGATAAGTGGTCGTTGATAGTGATGATGAGCGTATGGATCTGCAACAAAAACATTCAAATCCTTATTGCACAAGAAACCAAAAACCAACTTTTCTTGCAGAACTTGTAATAAGCGACCACTGCCAAAGCCAACGCAACCGTGAAGCAAAACATAATCCAAGTGAGAACCTCTCCTGGTTGCATTTTTGCTACTCGAGACGTCGTTATGTACATTTTCAGCAGATTCACGAATAAAAGACAGAGAACTGAAACATATGGTCCAGACTATACCATTCCAAAGTTTGAAAAAAAGAGACAATAGAACAAAAAACGGGAAATTTGAGAATTTGAGAGGTTGTTTAGTCAGAAAAAGCAATGAATGAAGAGGGGAAAACGAGAGGAGAGGTTTGTAAGGTGATGTCATCTTGATCATTCAGATTCAAAGAGCAATATGTTTCGGATTTGGAGGAAACCCTTCATTCTGGAACGTTTGAATTTTCAGATCAACTATGAGCAATGGAGAAAAGTCACAAACACAGAAACATAGAATGTGTGTATCAAGCCCACTCGAGATTTGATTACAAGAATCAAATAAAATAGGCATTCAATAAATGGTTCCTGTTGGGGTTTGAAGAAAGAAAGAGAGCAATTATGTGTAGCTGGCTTTTTTAATGGGAATAAATGTCATATGACTTTTAGATTTGCTGAAATAGAAAGCTTATAGAATTGAAAAGGCGTTTTCGGACACAGATGCTTGAGTTAGTAAAATGAGAGCATAAAATTGGAAATAAGGGAATGTAAAATTCGGAAAATTGAAAAATTGAAGATACGGTAAGTTAGTCATAATGAACTCAAAATGCACTTATAGGGAGGGCTTCTAACAACGGTAACTGGTATTATGCTTGTCTGAGAAAAAAAAGGTTGAGACGCAGAGAAAAAGTGTTTGCGACTCCAGCTTATGTGTGCTATTTAGGCTCTCCGTTTCGATATCGCTACCGTATTTAGACTGCAAAAAATACTCTCTAACCTTTTTTCTCAGACAAGCATAATAGCGAAGATGATGATGCAGAGATTCGATTCGCAATTTTCTAGACAAAAAAGAAATAAAATTTTACGGTAAACCTTAAGCTTGAATGTGGTAGTTTTTGGGAGGTAAGATTTTTTTCCATATTTGAAATATGGTATGATTCCAAAATCTATCTAATACCTATGGGTCTAATAGAAACCAGCTCAAACAGTCAATGTTGAGATCAATTATCTCGGTTCCTGTAAAAGATATCAGAAACTGTTAATTGATAAACTATTCATCGTAATATAATCAATATTTTATCAATTGACCAATTTTAGATATCTTTCACAGAAATCGAGATAATTGAGCTTAAAGTGCACAGGTTTGGGGGGGGGGGGGGGGGGGCTTCTATTACAGGTTTTATGGTAGATTCTCATTCAAAAAACTAGATTTCAAAAAATCCTGATGACCAATTGTCTCCCAAGAATCTTGGATATCAATCAGAAACATTTCTCCCATGGGGTCGTGTCTTGATCAAAGTTCGCGATAATCACTGATCACACCTGTTTTCTACATTACTTGATTTTGAAAGTTTCTGGGTCAAATCTCAGAATTTCAACTCATTCTATACAGCAAAAAATTTCAAAAAAAAAAAACAAAAGTGTAAAGTGAATTTTTTTGATATCATCGTGCCATTGTTTTTCAACAATCACTCTTCGACCACCACAAGAAAGATTTTGATAAGTAAGATATAACATAACATCATCAATCAAATAGAGGAAGACAAGGACCAGGAAGTCAAATCAATTATTGCACAGAATGAAGAAAAAAAAAGAAACAGAAGCTCCTAGAAAAAAAGAAGTTTGAATATTCAAAACGAAAAGAGACGCCTTTTATTGTTCTCGGCTCATAAACTCCTCAAAAGAGTCTCCTTGGAAATATGGGCGGTCCTTTCCAGTCGAAAAATGCCGAATTTTATGAGCTGTATAGTCGGGGGAAAGAGGGCATGAATTAAAAAGATCTGTGTGCCTAAAAAAGGAAGTGGGACCAGTTTTATGAGACGAAAAATGACGGGGAGGAAATTGAAAAAAAAAGAACGGCAAGATGAAGAAAAGGGGGTGACGTGGCAAATGGAAGGAGATGTATGCACATAATGAAACGAAGAAAATGTGGTTTAAAAAAGGCAAAAGTGTACTTGGAAGCTTTAGCTTAAAGATAATGGAGTGTGTGACATGGGAAAATGTCAAGGATCGGGTTCAGAAAGTTCAAAGGATCAGAATCTTTTTTTTTCAGAAAAGATCCATAGCGGTTTTTGGCAAAAACAGATATCATAATGGTACAGAAAAAATTGAGCTGTGAACTCTAAACGCTGGTGGTCCCACAACGACAACTACTGTAACCTAAACAATTTTCGAGAGAAAATCGTATTTTTCTTTGATGTTCTTGCAAAATTTTTAGACCTTTTTAGAGTTTTCAGCTATTTTTGAAGATTCTTTTTCGATTTTTCCTAGTTTTTTGTCTGATATTTGATGGAACGGTGCTTTGATTACTGTAGATTACTGTAGAAAACCTTGTATTTTGTAGTTTTTTTTTGCAAATCTGTTATCTGCATTTTGACGTGGTTGTATTTGGAAAAAAAACAGAAGGAGGTTAGTTTTCTACAGTAACCCACAGTAAAATACAGTAAGCAAGCACCGTTCCATCAAATTTCAGACAAAAAAATTTTAAAAAAATTGGAGGAGAATCTTCAAAAAACCTAAAAAGGTCTAAACATTTTGCAAAAAGTCGAAGATAAAAAATGTATTTCTCTCGAAAATTTCCTAAATTTTTAGGTGACTATGCAGAATTAAATTGTGACTAAAACGCACGAAAATCGAGAAAAAATAGATAAAAATAGTTTTAGATTACGGTAGTTTTCGCTGGGAAACCTTCGGCCGCGGTCAACGACGCTTCACTACCACAGCTTCGATTTTTTGTACCAAAATAACGTAAACAGAGAACGCACCCCGAATCGTCAAATTTGAGTTTTTCAAAAGAAATGAGATACATAGGCTCAAAGTAGACGGCCCAGGTGGCGTTCTATTATACGGTAATAGTCTCAAAATTTGTGAAAATTGTAACTTTTGAATAAATCTTAAAGAATCCTTGAATGAATTCAGAAAGCTTCAGAATTTTCAAGGCCCAGGCCGGTCAGTTTCGGTCTGGGATTTCTGTTATTTTTCTGTTATTTCAAAAAATTTTCAGAGTCAATTTAAAAAAATTCCTGTCAAATGGTAAGTTCGCCAAGAACGGACAGCCATTAAAAAACTTTTTTACAATAATTCTTTTTCTGAAATCTCAATTTTTTCATGTGGAAAACTCGGACCTGATTTTTCAAGTTTGCGAACTTCTGAAAGTAGCCCAAATTATGTCAGTAAGCATTTTGAGAAATATACCTTTATATTTTTTACCCAAATCTCTTTTTTAAAAATCCTTATAATTCAAGAAACAACAGATTTCGTAATGCAGGTGGTGGTGGTCATGAGAATGGAAAGGAAAATGACCAAAACGAAGAAAAAGGTCCAAAGAAAATCGGGTTAAAATTGTGGAAGAAGAGTAACAGAGGAAGAAGAAAAAAGAAGACGAAATTGGATTTCATCGGGATGGGTTATATATGTTTTCTTGTTGTTTCTCATCCTCATCAGTTCGAAACAAAAAGAAATTGAGAAGAGACCAGATTTTTTTTTTCGGCCGGCTCTCTTTGCAAGTTTTTTGTTTGCGGTGTGGGTAATTAGTGCCGCTAATTCAAAGATTGAAAGTCCAAAAAAACTGTAATTGAAAGTAGTGGGCAGCCAAGTAGTCAACCAGCATTCTAACGAAGAGAATAATCTTCTAGAAAGAAAAAGAAGAAGTCTTCCTGAAAAAGAGCAATTGAAGAAAGATTAGGACTTCCACAAGTGCCCCCAAGTTGGACACATTCAGGGATTATCTACCAATTGCGTTGCCATGCGCGTCTTTTTGTTTTTCTTCTATTTCTCAAGCAGTTGGTGAGAAAAATGGATGAGTTGAGGGAAAATAAAAGGAAGAGGATTTGCATTATTTTGAGAGGAAAAATGTGGCTCTTTAGAAAAAGTCATTTGGTTTAGTAGGAAAGATAAATCAAATTTCTATTGAACGAAACTTGAAACCAGCCTAGAAAGATTACGGTAGAATGAAACTTAAAATCTTTTAAAGAAAGGAGAATTATCCGGAATGATTTTCGAGAAACGGAATTCGGAATACGGAATGTTGAAACTAGAAACCATCCTCACTTTGTTTGTTTTGAATTTTTAAAGGTGGGGGACAGGAGATTTTTCGTAGTTTTTTTGTAGCTAGAGTATGCATTCTACCGTCACGGTGTACAACGCTTAATGTCACTCTGCGTACAGCTGTCGTCCTCGCCTTTATGTATGCAATCAGGGCGTCCGCTTTCTCTTTGCCCGCGTGGCTCAGTCGGTAGCGGCGCCGCACCCTCAATCCTCGCCTTCACAAGTTCAACTCCTCGAGGGGCATCCACAGGTCCTGGGCGCGCATACGCATAATGGATGGGCGACGGAGGACGCGCCGATGAATTGGGTACAGGGAAAGGACGCCGGTATGGGGCATATACGGGGCATATGGGGCACACCGCCGCCGCAAAGCATCTCCTCGCCTGGCTTGCTGGCACTCGATGAAATGAACTAAAACGTTGGTTGGGGGTTCCTAGAAGTATCAGTTAAGTTCTATTGTAATGTGATTTTGTTCAGGTCTTCCGATTTCGTACTTTTCCTTTATTATTCCATATTCTTTTATATTTTGAACGACATATTACTGATTTTTTGAAACTCAATGTTTTGGTTTTGAAAAAGACTTAGGGCAGTTTCTATTTAAATTTGATATGCAATCAAAAACAGAACAAAATGGGAAAAAATTCGCTAAAAATTGTTTTTTTTTTTCATTTGTTCAAAAAATATGTCTCACTTTCACTTTTTTTTGAAATTGCATGAAAAATTGAAAATTTTTATAATTTACACTTTGTAATTATTGTATACTTACCAACTTACCTTTTATTCCACCTGAAAATACGATTTTTACAATAACTACACAGTGAAATAAAAAATCTCGATAGCACCTATTTCGGCGAAAAACATAGCAATTAACGAGTGAAAGACATGTTTCTGCAATAATTCAGCGATTTTTTATTCTGCCATAACTCTTTTTCACAAAAAACATCGAAGGAATAATCGAAAAACCAGAAATGTGGCTCGAATTGACGAAAAATTGACAAAGTTGCCGGTGTGGATTTACGGTAAACAATGGGCGCATCCGGGATTTCGGAGTGTTGTAGTCGGCCTACCGTATCAGACCTATATCGCACACATCGCCCACCCACCCAGAATCTATCTAGGATACGCGCGCATTCGGAACACTCGATTCAGCCTCTCCCGCATCGCACACATATGAGACTCATCGCAGCTCGTTGTTCGCGATATGTGTCAAACGGACTTCTAGAGGATCGCATATGGATCGGGTCCTTTATGCGCATCATCGCCCAGGACCTGTGTCTTTGAACGGAATTTCGAGAACATTTTTTTTTTCATGTCCCCCACCTTTAAAACACACAAAAAAATTTGAAAAAAAAAAGAAATTTATTAGTTTTGAAAACAAAGAACATGAATTATTAAAACAAAATTACAACCAAAACTACATGTGGAGTAGAGAAAGATTCTTCTGCAAATAGACATCCTTTTCCTGATCACTCCAATTGGAAGAGACTCGATCGAATGGGCATTTGATCTCCCCTGGAGTTTGAGCAGCCAGTTTGACAACGCAGGACTGGCAGACGGTGTGGCCGCATGCTTAAAAATAGTTGATTTTAAATTATTTTGCTTCTTTCAAATATAACTCACCAAGAACGCGTGGCGTTTGCTCTTCAGTGTCCGCAAACTGGAATGCGCACACTTCGCATAGACTCCAGGCCTTCTGATCTCCCTCCTCCTTCTCTTGCGCCTTCTGGAGCATCTTCCTGGCTTTCATCATCTTCATGCGATACTTCTCACGTTGGCTTCCCTCATCCTTCAAAAGCTGCTTCAGGACATTCGAATCGAAGACTGTGCCACAGTTTGACGCATGCGCTTCGAAGGCTTCTAGGCGCCTCTTATTAACGTCGATATCCTTCTCTAACTCGGTAATCTTCTCATCTCGATGCTTCTGAATCATGCGAAGTTTCTCTAACTTTTCATTCTCTTGAATCGCCTGCAAACGATATACACCTTGAGCTTCTCTCTCGTTCTCCAGATGGGTGTGCAGGTCGAGATTCTTGGAACGCTCATCAGCCAAAGATTGCCGAAGAGCATCCGTTTCGAGTTTCAATTGGTCCAATTCGTCCTCAAGTGCAAACTTTTTGGACTTGCCTGTCTTCTTGAAGAACTTGCACAGGCGTTGCATTTTTTTTTCTGAAAAAAGAATACTTGAGTTATGATAAGAAGATCGGAGACCGAAAAAACAAACTCATGAGGCTAGGTGATAACGAAGGGGCTGCACTGTGGGAAGAGGAAAAATCGTATCGTTCAGAAAAATGTCTCACCAAAAAAATGAAAGTGGTCAGAACAACGAGGAGATAGATGACTGGAACTTGAGAAATGAAGTTACGCGCCCTTCTATTAGAGGTTTTACGATACTTTGAAAAATAGAATTAAGAAAGGAATAAAGAAAAATATATCTGAAAAGTAACACTGATAATCAAAACGGAGAACTACTAGTTTTGCTTTAAAACGAGTGGAAAACGCGTACAGAAAAGAAAATCTACGTCTACAGAGAATCTATGCAACAGGATAGTAAAAAAAGAAAAAGCTTCTAATCAATAGCTCATGTAAGAACAGGATTACAAGAGAAAAGAGATAGAGAACGGAGGATGGAATGAATGAATGAATGAATGAAAACTATGGAATAGAATACTCACCGTATGCGGAATCCAGGTGGATACGAATTTCCAGTTGGGCCAGCAGGACCCCGCCCACAAGTTGTCCTCTGGGAAACTACGGTATGTGGAGAAATTCAAATACATTGGCTGTGTTTTTGAGATACTATTCGCCTGCACATAGACAAACATTTTGAGATTGTGGACCATTAACATAAAATGTAGGATAGAAGAAAAATTGACAGTCGAGACAGCCATGGGGAAACTTGAAGATCGTAAACCCCTATACAGGTAAAAGAACACTGCTGAAAAAAAGCTAAATGACTGCTGAAGAGGCACAAACACAATGACTGCCAGTTAGCAGTCGAAAAAGAACTGACGGGTTATTGACGAACTGTCGACACACCATCGGAACCCCTCAAAAACTGACTTGAGCGTTCGATGGCTGCTGTTTCGAGGACTAAAATCTGAAGAATGGAAAAATTGGCTAAAAATTACTTTTCAATTGTTACAGCATAAAAGTTCTTACAATCTTTTGAATGATAGCTCTGACTGCTGGGTGGCGGCTGGATAAAACAATCGCCCTCCAACTGTTTATTTATTGATCACTTGTATATTCGGTTTATCTTTAACTCTAAAGCAACAGAAACAATTTTTAGTTTTCAAAAAAGTTTATTCAACTCAAAAAATTAAAAAGCTTCAGAAAATGTTTAAAAAATGATAAATTATTCACATATGCATCACAGTAAAATTCTTTGGGAGTCTCTCTACTTTGTTGTCATGGAGAACGGTGTACTTCTTATCGACAGCGCAACAGATGGCGCTAGATTTTGGTGTATTCTTGGCGAGTTGGACGAGACATGTGTGACAGTATGTGTGCCCGCATCCTGAAAATAGGTTAATTAGAAATCGGAGTTCATTAAAAACCTTCTTACCGAGAATACGAGGAACTCTTTCGTCAGTCTGTTGGAACTCTTGGTTGCAGATTTCACAGCACCTCCATGGTTTCAAATGGTTCTTCTCTGGAGCTTTAAGAAGTTGCCATGCTTGGAGCATCTTTTGACGTTGTTTCTCGGTTTGAGCCTTCTCGTTTCTCAAGAATGCAGTCATATTCTCAGGAGAGAACACTGAATCCAATTCAATGTTGAGAGATGCGAGAACTAGAAGAAGTTGCAGGTGCTCGTCGTTTTCTTTGAACAGTTCTTGGAATCTCTCCTCTCCCTCTTCGATTTTCTTCTGGATGTCTTTGCTTCTCGACGTCTGGAAATCAACCTCCTCTCGATAATTTTTGCGAACGATTCCTCCATTCAGAGAGTACTCCAACATCTCATTCTTCTTCTGTTCAAGCTCCAGTGCTCTCATCAACTCCTCCCTCTCCATTCTCTTTAAATCAACTTGTTCTTGAAGCTGTTGAGATTTGGATGATGACTTTCTGGAGAAGATCTTGCGGATAGCGTTCATTTTCTAATCTGGAAAAATATAAATGTTGAGAAAGAGAATAAGGAAAGTCCAGGTAAAAACACGAAGACTTTGAAGAAATATATGCGATCAGAAGGAAAAGTGAGAAAGAGTAAAGCCATAGATCAACCAAATGAGAGGGACATTGAGAATGAAAAGAACAAATAAATATTGGACCTGAGGGTCTTGGAGGCTGTGCAAGGTAACTCCAGGTGGGAATTCTGAGAAGAGAACACTGGGTGTAAGAGACCTGAAGAAGAGATGGGTGAGAGGTGACTCCCATAAATGGGTTAGGTTCGTGACAGGCTGAAGGAGAATAGTAATTACAGGAAGAACGGGCTAGGTGAAGAGGAAAAAGTCTTCTGGGAAATATGCTGGAATGTTTCGTCGATTTGTCTCTTATTTTTCCTCAAACAAGTCATAAAGTAAATTTTATCAGTGGAAAATTGACTGAAAAATCGCAAAAATCGAGATATCTATAAATCTGGAAAATAAAATTTCAATAATTTTGGGGTCTTTGAGAATTCCGTACATATTCTAACAAAAGAAGTTTTAAGTCATTCCATCCCATTTCCCAGAAGGCCACCTTCCTCTTCACCTAGTCCATTTTTGTAGTTATGTCTCCCTTTCAGCGTGTCAATTTTACGATCAATGAAGCGGTCCTCTTTTGTCGTATCCGTTGTAATCTTCAATTCAGTGGACCACCTGGGTTTACCCATACCTGGTTACCCCTCCACGTCTTCTACATTTTCTATTCTTCTTCTATATTTCTCTCGTTTAGTGATTTTTTGTTTCTACTCCTTCTTTACTGCTTCTGATCACAGATTTTCCTGCTAAGTTTTTCTTCTCCGAATTTCTTTCTCATGTTAAGAATTTAAACCTTCATCAATTTTATTATCCATCGGTTTAGGTCCCCTACCGGAATCTCAACCTCCTGGCTTCCGCTTCCTATATCTTACACTTGAATTTCTAATTCCCGCGTCCTCAAAGGTTCTGATTACCCGAATTTCCAAAATTTTCAAACTTTTGTATTCTGAACTACCGAATTTTTGAAATTCTAAACTGCAGAGTATTTGAATTTGCGGAGTTCAATATTTCTGAAATTCATCAATTCGGGAAGTTTTTAAATAATGCTGAAGTTTTTTTTCCACAAATTGGCAATTTAATCGCCTTTTTTGTTCTCAATCAGTCGACAATTTGAATCTAAATGTTATTACAGTAATGAGATTTCTTTTTAAAACTATGCTGTTTTTTTCAGAAATATCTCAATACGTTCCGTCATACTTCCCAGAAGGCCCCTTTCCTCTCCATTTAGTCCGTTTTTCTTGTAGTTACGACTCTCCTTCAGCCTGTCAATTTTGCGATCAATGCCTTTTAAACTATAGCACACATATCGTCTTCAGGTGTATCGCACCCAGTGTATTCTTAGGGTCGGACTTCCCACCTGGATTTCCCTCTACCTTGTCCCGCCCACAAGTCCCCTCATTCTCAATGTCCCTCTCATTTGGTTGATCTATGGCTTTACTCTTTTTCACTTTTCCTTCTGATCGCATATATTTCTTCAAAGTCTTCGTGTTTTTACCTTTCCTTTCCTTATTCTCTTTCTCAACATTTATATTTTTCCAGATTAGAAAATGAACGCTATCCGCAAGATCTTCTCCAGAAAGTCATCATCCAAATCTCAACAGCTTCAAGAACAAGTTGATTTAAAGAGAATGGAGAGGGAGGAGTTGATGAGAGCACTGGAGCTTGAACAGAAGAAGAATGAGATGTTGGAGTACTCTCTGAATGGAGGAATCGTTCGCAAAAATTATCGAGAGGAGGTTGATTTCCAGACGTCGAGAAGCAAAGACATCCAGAAGAAAATCGAAGAGGGAGAGGAGAGATTCCAAGAACTGTTCAAAGAAAACGACGAGCACCTGCAACTTCTTCTAGTTCTCGCATCTCTCAACATTGAATTGGATTCAGTGTTCTCTCCTGAGAATATGACTGCATTCTTGAGAAACGAGAAGGCTCAAACCGAGAAACAACGTCAAAAGATGCTCCAAGCATGGCAACTTCTTAAAGCTCCAGAGAAGAACCATTTGAAACCATGGAGGTGCTGTGAAATCTGCAACCAAGAGTTCCAACAGACTGACGAAAGAGTTCCTCGTATTCTCGGTAAGAAGGTTTTTAATGAACTCCGATTTCTAATTAACCTATTTTCAGGATGCGGGCACACATACTGTCACACATGTCTCGTCCAACTCGCCAAGAATACACCAAAATCTAGCGCCATCTGTTGCCCTGTCGATAAGAAGTACACCGTTCTCCATGACAACAAAGTAGAGAGACTCCCAAAGAATTTTACTGTGATGCATATGTGAATAATTTATCATTTTTTAAACATTTTCTGAAGCTTTTTAATTTTTTGAGTTGAATAAACTTTTTTGAAAACTAAAAATTGTTTCTGTTACTGTAAGATGCAGATGAATCGAATATAGTAGTAATCTGTTAATACACAGAGAAAGAGAGAGAGAGGTGGACTGTTTTATTCAGCCGCTATCCACCAATCAGCGACTCTTCGTTCAGCGGTTTATCACCAATCGAGTCTCGGATTATAATTTTTGTCGAAATGCTTATAATAATACACTTTTAAGATTTACAGAACTGTAACAATTAAACAATAATTTTCCTCAAATTTTCCATTCTGCAGAAATTTAGTCCGCCAAGCAGAAACCATTGAACATTCAACGCTTCTTCGACTGTTATTAAACAGTCGTTTAACAACCTGTTTTCAGATTTTCCAATGTGAGGAAAATTAGATTCTACCATTATTTCTAAAATCTATATCTGTAGCATTCCGACTGATTTCTAATCAAAAACGTTCAAGTCGGTTTCCCAAGAAGTACCGATGACGATCCGTCAATAACCAGTCAGTTTTTTTTCGTCTGCCAAGCGGCAGTCGCTCTGTTTGCGCCTTTTCACCTGTCATTTAGCTTTTTTCAGCAGTGCCCTTTTACCTGTATAGGGGTTCGCAATCTTCAAGTTGTTTATTCTTACTTGATCTTCCCGGCAGTCTGGACTGAAATATTTCCCCTATCCTACATTTTATGTTAATGGTCCATAATCTTAAAAGTTTTGACTATGTGCAGACGAATAGTATCTCAAAAACACAACCCAAGGTTTTAGGGTTCCTTCAAATGCCCTATTCTCCCAAAGGAAAACTTGTGGGCGGAGACTTACTGGCCCACCTGGGAATTCATATCCACCTGGTCGCCTCTCACAGCGTAGTTGTCATTCAGTCATTTATTCGTTTCATCCTCCGTTTTCTATGTGTTTTCTCTTGTAATCCTGCTCTTACTTGTGCTATTGATTAGAAACCCTTTCTTTCTTTACTGTTCCGTTGCATAGTAGATATTGTAGATATTGTTGATATAGATGTTGTAGATATAGATTATTTTTGCTTTTTTGATCAGTTCGCACACTTCTGATATCTTGCATAGGAACTGAGATAATGGAGCACAAACCTTATTACAGGTTTTACGGTACTTTTCGGATTTCCCCTCTTATTTCTATCTTTTAATACAAGCTACATCATAGTCGAAATTCTATCCGATTCCCGGTTTTACCAGCCATCACGTATTCCATTTTTCTTCCACAAAATAAGGTTAGATTATATGACAGCTATTCCCGATAAACTACTAGATTTAAGGCTTAATTTCCCAAGGGCTAAATTCCCAAATTATCTGTCTTTTCCCAGACAGTGTTCCTTCCTCACCTTCATACCTCTTCACTTCAACATTAGCTCTTACAATTGCTACACTTTCCCAGTTCTTTTTCACGAATCCCCTCAATCTGATCACCTTAATTTTCTTCCTGACATAGTTTTTCTGAAGGATGCGTCCACTTCCCAACGAGCAAGGAGAAACAACCCTCTTCATCATCACATGTCTTACCTGTTTGATCTTTTAATCTCCGATCTTCTTGTCATTTCTCAAAAGTTCTCTTTTTTCAGAAATCATGCAACGCCTGTTCAAATTCTTCAAGAAGTCCGACAAGTCCAACACTAAGAAGTTCGAGAGTGAATTGGACCAGCTGGAGCTCGAGAACGATGGTCTTAGGCAATCGTTGGCCTCTGAACGTTCCAGAAATGTCGACCTGCACACGAATCTGGAGAACGAACGAGAGGCTCAAATTGGATATCGCTTGCAGGCGATTCAAGAAAACGAGAACTTCGAGAAGCTTAGAATGATTCAGAAGCATCGAAATGATAAAAATAGCGCATTGGAGAAGGATATCGAGGCCAATAAGAAGCATATTGAAGCCTTTAAATTGCTCGCGTCGAACTGCGGTACAGTTTTTGATCCAGAGATCTTGAAGAAGTTTTTGCAAGATGAGGAAAGCCAACGTGAGAAATACCGTTTGAGAACAATGAAAGCTCGCAAGATGCTCCAGAAGGCCCAAGAGAAAAAGGAGGGAGATCAGAAGGCTTGGAGTCTCTGTGAAGTCTGTGCATTCCAATTCGCAGACACTGAAAAGCAAGCGCCACGCGTTCTTGGTAAGTTATATTTGAAAAAAGCAAAATAATTCAAAATCAACTATTTTTCAGCATGCGGCCACACTATCTGCCAGTCATGCATTATCAAGCTGGCCGCTCAGACTCCAGGGAAGATCAAGTGCCCTTTCGACCGAGTTTCTACCCATTGGAGCGATCGGGAAATCGATATTTGCCTTCAGAAGAATCTCACTCTCCTCCACCTGTAGTTTTTTTCTGTAATTTGTTGTGATAATGATGCTCTAATAAATTTGGTTTTTTTGAATTATTTTTTTTCAAAGGATGATTTTCTAGTTTCAAAAAACATTGATGAACGGATTATGCTATACTTGTTGGAATGGAATTATCTGAAGTGGTTTGTAAATCTGAAATTCCGTTCAATTATCTCGATTCCTGAGAAAGATATCAGAAGCGATTAACTAGTAAAATATTGCTGATATTATACATAATGAACAATTTAACAGTTGACAACTTTTTGATATCTTTCACAAAAATCAAGCTGATTGAGCTCAGAGTTGACAGTTTGAGCAATCTTCTATTATTAGTCCTCTGCCATTCGTATGGATTTTCAATTCTTTGCCGAGATAATTGAGCTCAAACTTGACAGTGTGAGGGCATTCCTATTGAAGGTTTTACGGCGCTTTTTAAAAAAACGAATTTCGATAAATATCTGACAGAATTTTCAAACCCTTTTGTCAACCGTATTTTTCTAATACCCTTGCAAATCCAAACCAGTTCCTTTTTTCTAATAGACCAGGCATAACCTGTAACGCTAATTAATCCACTCAACACTGTTATAAAAACAACATACTGCTACAATCCTTCTTCTTTTTCTTTAATTATGCACTCATCATATTCCTATTTCCATCCGTTATCCTACTTTTCCACATTATTCCTTCTAACTTCTCTGTCTTTTTTGGTGTATTTTGTAACGGATGTTCAGAAGTTTGAAGAAGAATGTAAGAGTCAGATGATTGTATTCCAGGTTGGGAATTCCAGGATGTATATTCTTAATTTTGATTTTCAGACTTTTGAGCAAGCGGCCTGGAAAGATATTATTCAGTTAGAGAAGTTACATGCAAGAGCTAGAAGAGATGTTGGTTTCCTAACAAAACGGAAAACTAGAAGACGTCAAAAAGTGAAGAAACACAAACGTCCTGTTCAAATTATACAACAAGAATTTGTCCCTGTGGCCGAAGAGGTTGACGAGTATAAAAATTCTGATTGGAGGAAAGAATCTGAAGATGAATCCACGGATGTTGAGACATCTACAGAAGTTTATATAGAAGAAAAAGAAGACGTGCAAGGATCTTCTCCTTTTTCCGAGAATTCAGATGAAAACGAAACAGAAAACAATGGATATTCTGCACCTAAAAATCCCACAAATCCGGAAAAGATAAGAAATATGGAAAGAAGAGAAATGAAGTTAAAAAACGGATATACCAAAAAAGGGCTGGAAACCGACAATGGTGAGGAAGGAGAGAAAAAAGAAGAAGACGTTGAAGGATATGAAGAAAGAGAAGATAATGAAGACGAAGAATGCGGTAACGTTACATTTACCGCATTTCCTATAATAGACGCCCACCCAATCCGTCCACTTTGAGCCCATAGATCTCATCTCCTGCAAAAGATATCAAAACGTTGTCCACTAACAAAACATTTTTAATAACATGATAAACATTTTATCAGTTGACAAAATTTTTATATCTTTCACAGGGATCGAGATAATTCAGCTGGAAGTTGTGAGCTTACGGGAAACACTCTAATAGAGTGCCATCCAAACTGTCAGTTTTGAGCTCACATATCTCGATTCCTGGAAAGAATGTAAAAAATTTGTGAACTGATAATTTGTTCATCATAATCTCAAAACATTTTATCAGTTGCCACATTTTTTATATCTTGCATGGGAATGGAGATAAATGAGCTCAAAGCTGTGAGCTTACCGTGTGCACTAATAGACGTTCACCTAACCTTTGAGCTCAATTATCTCGGTTCCTGGGAAAGATAACAAAAAGTGGTCCACTGATAAATTGTTCATCGTTATATCACCAATATTTTATCCGTTAACAGGGTTTTTATATCTTTCACAGAAATCGGGATAATTGAGCTCAAAGCTAAGGGATTCTATTGGATAAAATACGGTAGCTGATTCCGTACTCTGATTTTATTTTCTGCAGCTGACACTGACCTAAAATGCTACGGAAACCCTTGTCCACGCGGCCCAGCAGGTCCCCCAGGACCTCACGGATCTCCCGGAGAAGATGCTCCAGATGGCGTAGACGGAGGCAATGGAACCGATTGGGAACTTCTTGTCGAAGATCGAGTAATCGTGTTGGGATGTGTGAAGTGTCCTCAAGGCCCACGTGGCGTAGAAGGTGATCCTGGACCACCGGGAGATAAGGGAGGCACCGGGAAGAATGGTAATCCAGGACTTGATGGATATGAAGGATTCCCTGGGCAATCTGGACAAGAAGGAGAGGCTGGATATGATGGAGATTATGGTCCAGATGGATGGGCAGGGCAGCGTGGAGAGGATTCGAAAATCTATAAAAACCTTCCAGGGCCACCGGGTCCATCAGGCGCCGCAGGTCCGCCTGGAGAAGTTGGAGGATATGGTAATTTAGGTTATGGAGGAATAGAAGGAGTTGCTGGAGTGGCTGGAGCTCCAGGAGAACATGGAATTCCAGGACCACCGGGAGCTCCCGGAACGGTGAGTTTACCGTAAACATTCTAATAAAACACTACCCGAACCGTCAACTTTGATCCCATATATCTCATTTCCTGTGAAAGATACCAAAAAGTAGTTCACTGATAAAATGTTGCTTACATTATGATAAACAAGTTATCAGTTGACACAATTTTGGTACCTTTCACAGGAAATGAGATATGTCGACAATCGGCGTCCACCGACCAAGCAGACCCGATTTGCGCGTCACCATTTCAGACAGTATTTGCGTACGCCGCAACTGAATGAAAAATTTTTGAAATTGTTGAACAATAAAATTCTGTGTACACAAACAGTCTAACGCACAAATGCACGAATTTGGTCGGCTAAATTTTCCGATCTAAAAAGAAACTTTATCTGAAACGACGCTAGTTTTCAGCCTGGCGAACCAGGAATCCCTGGGGAATACGTCGGCCAATGCAAGTGTCCAGAACGTCGTCGATCGGTTGTCAATTCTTATCCTCAACCTCCTCCTTCCTATTACACTGTTCCTTATTCAATGACTACAGAAGCCTACTTGACGTCTTCTGATTATCCAGTCTATGTGGAGACAACTACACAAGAGGTTCCCACTACTTCCATTTATCGGTATTTCGTAAAAGCCGCTACTCCGGGATACAAAACCATGGAGACGACATCTGAATACGTGGAAACTACAACGGTCGAGTATTCCACCGAAGCGAAGAGCCAATACGTTGAAGATACATCCACACATATTGCGGAAGCTTCCAAAGCTTTCGAGCCGCCTGAAGATCATCCTAGAATTCCGAAAAGTTAATAATAAACAGTTACTATTGCGACTTAATTCATATTACTATATAGAACAATAGGAAATAGTATTTCAAATAGGAATATTTCAGTGTGGGCCGGGAAGAAGGACATCATAAAGATCATCTCAATTAGAACAGGGGAACAAATAGAGACAGAGAGACAGACAAGGGTTGATGGTACACGGTGCAAAAACATGATTGAAAAAATTGGTTAGAACAAAAGAACAATGGTAAAGTCGCAATTGATTCGATATGAATATAAATAGCTAAACATCGAGAATATTTGATAGAGAAAAAAAAATGAACAGGAAAAAAATCAAGTAGATGGTGATGGGTTAGAGAAATTGATAGCCAAACGCGACTGCTTCTTCTTTCTGGGCTTTTTGGTTTTCTCCTCCGAAGATTCAGGGGCTGTCTCCACTACTGGCACTTTTGGAGCATCTGGAGGCGTCGGCGACTTTCGCTTAGTGATCATCGTCACTTTGGGTGGCTGATTTCGATAGTTCGGACGACGTGATATCACCGACGGCTTGAAGTCGGTTAGTGTTGGGTTCTGGCGCTTTCTGGAAATGTGATACTTTTAAATAATCATAATGAGGAGAAGGGATGATCGGATCGGAATTCCGACCGTTTTCGGAAGGAATCTCCGATTTTTTTTCGAAATTAGAGCTTTTCGAACTACAGTATGCCAAAGGCGCAATCGAAAGTTGGTCTTGAGCGGAACTACTCATGATATTTTTCGTGTTTTCGAAATCTGTTTCTCTTTGTTTTTCACCAATTTTTCGCGCTTTTTTGAGTTTTGTGAGTGGGATTTTTCGTTGAAACTAGTTAACTCTGGATGTTCCGAAACTTTGAAACTCGGATTTTTCGATACTCAAAAAAACTCCAAAAAAGCCATTCCGAAAATCTTGGAATTCAGGAGCCATTTCTTACCCATCGTATCCTTGATGTTGTTGATGCTGTTGAGGATGATGAGGATGCATCATTCCCATATGCATTCCCATCGGATGCATCATTCCAGGAGGGAACATTCCCATTGGATGTGGCTGGAAATGTCCTGGTAGTTGAGCACTGGGAAACGGTCTTTGGGGTTGGTTCACCAGTGGAGGCGACGGAGTTTTTCTTTTTTGATCGGTCGGTTCTTGATGCGGCTTCTGTTGAGCCGATGGTGGTGGTGGCGGATTCTTTTGCTGAGAAGACTTTTTCTCGTTGACAACTGGAGGCGAAGGAGTCTTCGAAGCTCGCGCAGAACCTCCTTGCGTTGGAGATGGCTTACGAAGAATCTCGACCTTCTGTTGCATCTGATTTTTGTTACCTTTTGAGTTCTTGGAGTTTTTAGCATTCTTCGAATTCTCGTTCTTCTTCTGCTGGCCGTCTTCGTTCTTCTTCTGATGCTTCGGATTCTTCTGGTTCTTCGAACCATTCTGAGCAGCTGTTAGCTGCTGAAGAAGGAGCGATCCGGAACTCTCCTTTTCAGCTCCACTGCTAGTAGCTTCAATCTCCTCAAGATTCTTGGAGCCATGCGGCTTTTTAGGAATCTTTGGATTCGTAGTAGCTGCCTTCTTGGCACCAGACCCTCCGAGTAGCTCCATAAGAGAAACTTGCTTCCCTGTTGTTGTAGATGGTGCTTCTGAAGTGGACTGAGATTCTACTTCTACTGGCACCGCGTTTCGTGGCTTGATCTTAAGAAGTTCGTTCAGAGAATTGGTAAGAGTTTCTGGAGTGTTTTCGTTTTGTTTCTTATTGTCAAACTTCTTCTCCTTCTTTTGATTCTTTTCTTTTTTGAACGAATTCTTTTGATTTTGGTCCTTAGGATTGGAAGACGTAGACTGCTGCTCTTTATTTTTGTCCTGTGGCTTTGCGTTCTTCGGTTTCAAAAGAGAATAACCTCCTTCTAGAGCCTGAATCTCTGGCTTCTGAAAAATTCATTATATGTTTGATAGAAAAAAAAAAAACAAATCCAACCTTTTTCTGTGTCTTTTTTCTCATGATTCCGAAAGTGATATTTACCAAAGCGTTCCTTGAAATACGGCACGCTGAAGCAAGAGTCGAGCCGCGTACTTTATTTCCTCCTTCGAACGAATCATCGAAGAGAACATCAATTTTGTCATCGTGGATTCCAACGACAGTTCCTTGAGTGATTCTTGGAAGTTTCTGAAAGAAAGATTATCGGAGTTCAGATAAAACCTGAAATATAGCCTACAGTATCTGGACTCATCGAAGCGACACGATCCAAAATCAAAAAGTCCGCTTCCGGATCCATTTGAACTTTTCCATCATAGAGTTCAAATCTGAATACCATGGATGGTGGTACGAAGTATCGAGTCATTGCTCTTTTCTTTTTCGGCGGCAACTGGTGAATTCTTCTTTCGATTTCCGAAATTATCTGTCGATCGGCGTACTCGGTTCCACACTTGAGCTGTTCGGCGTCATGACTAGGAAGATTGCTCAAGAACTCTTTGAGCTCGGCGAACTTGGCGTCTCGTTGTTTTTCGTTTTTCCAAATGTCCTCTGTGTAATAAACATCGTCCGTTTGTGACATTCCAACCGACTCGAAATATTTGATCAATTCAGGGAATCGTTTCTTGTATTCCGTCACCAAGGCACAAGTGAGAGGAGTGTAGAACCATACTTTCGAGGTGACTCCTCTAGCGTTGACGGTCTCGATACGATCCGTGAAATCAGCCAAACAGATATCCCTTCTCGAGTATTTCAGCGATAGACCACAGTTGATTTTGGAGTCGGACGATATCTGTTGTCCCGTTTCCACACTTTCCCGTGGCTCGTTCCATAACATCATGGTACCAGTGATTCTAGCGAAAAGGCGGACATCTATCTGACATTGTCGTGCACAATCATATCCTCCCATCCAGCGAAGTGTGAATCGATCCGAGTCTTTACGAAGATTTTCCATTATATCCACTCTGTTGTCATCGGTCATTCCAATCACTTCAAGACAACACTGAGACTTATCCTGATCTCTATATCCGTTAACCATTCCTGGCATACCAAACAGAGAAGCCTTCGGATCTAGGATCCAAACTACTGATTGTAGTGGGTAAGCTAGAGAAACTGGAAGATCAGCAAGGAAGCGGGAGTTTTCGAGAAGAACATCCTGGAAATGTACTTTTAAAAGGCTGATGTGTTAGAGAAAAGGTTACCTTGACAACAAGAGGCAACAGAACTGGATACAGTGACGTCGGTCCACTCCACTGTTTGACTGCCTTCAAAGTAGGACCCTCAGAATCCGATCCCTCGTTAGTTTCATAGACTAGTCCAGTGAATTTGCGAACCCACGCGAGAGCTGGTCGGATGTGTTTCCCTTTGCCATCTTTTTGACCAGCAATTTCAATAGCATATCGAGTCATCATTCGTTCAGTGAGCTGATTGACATGGGACTGCCATTGCTTTTTCTCCTCTTCAGTCATGTCTAAAAATAAGGATTTTGGAAATAGACTCTCAAATCATAACCAACCTTTAACGATAATATCGTCATCTCCCTCCACTTTCCGAACAATCTTATCATCTCCTCCCCATATCGAATCAACTTTCGCCAATTTCAAAATCGGCCAATCAATGCAGACTTCCTCGTCGCACAGCTCGGATCCCCACTCGATGATATCTTTATCACTCTTCTCGTTCTCTACTTTGAGGACCATCGACTCTTTTCGGGACGCCATTCCGAATATGTTACAGTTGGCGAATGACAACTTTCCAGAGTGACTCAAGTGCTTCATTGTTGGGAAGCCAGGGAAGTAAACATCCATTTTGACATTTGGAAGAAGTCCCCATTTCACTTGCTCTTTTGGAATTCTGAATATCTCCTGACTGAGCTCCTGACGATCCATTTTCCATTCACCACCACCTTGTCGAGTGGAAATGACTTGGATATGGCACCCATGCGTATTTCGCATTTTCTCTTCTTGAGACAGACGATTCTGTTTCGATTCTATAGCTTCCAGAAGCCTCTTTTCCTCTATGAACGGAATCAAAACCACCGCTTCCCAATCGTTTTTCTTTCCATTCAAATCGGTTTCAAACTTTGATGGATAGAAATCATGAATCGCTGATTGAGCTGGATCCGATGACATCAATTCTTGAAGTGGACGCGGTAAACAGTCACGGGAGGCTTCTGGGAGAACAGCGAGGAGTTGCTCAAATGGTTGAAACGGTTTGGACAGTTCGAATTCAATTTTCATATCAGCGAATCCTTGAACGTCCGAAATGAATGGTGCGTAATGGTGAGGGTAGAACCAACTCCACGAGACGCATCCATGGTAATAGTAATGCAGATTCCACTGAATAGCACGGACATACCCCTCGGCTTGAGCACGGAGCTCTGCCTTAGATATGTTTTTGTAGCGAAGTTTATCAGAGTAGTAGTACTTTTTGTGGCGTTTGAATTGGTTGTCAATTGCTTTCGTCCAGCAAGCTTCGACGTTATTGGCGAAGTCCGCATCATCCATTCCAGAAAGTGCGAGTGTTGCTAATTCATCATTAAACTCCTCCTCTAAAAATTGAGCATCATAATCCGGAGATTCTTCAGCGCTTGTTTTTCCAGTTCCATTATTCTTATCTTCCTCATGATCACTAACAAATGCCGCATCATGATCATCGTTGTTTCTACTGGAATCTTCTTTCTCTCCGTCGGCTTCTTCATCTTCAATATCAGATGATTCGAAAGCAACGAGCTCTTCTTCTTCTTCTCCGGATCCATTTCGTGGAAGCTTTTTGGACTCCATGAACTGATCATCTTCTAGCTTATCCATGAAACAGTTCTTGTCATTTAGAGAGAGTTGCGCCAAGAATTTCTCAAAACGAGCCAGATTTAAGTATCCAGACTCGTTGATATACCGTCAAGAGATGGAAGAACTTTCTTGTATGTTGAGTAGAGAAGTGGAAGAGCGTCATCGTGGATATGAATACTCGGAAGGTGAGGGAGAAAATCGTTTCCTACGAGAAGCCCCATCATGATCCAGTCATCAACAATACGCTCCATATCATATTCAAATGGGAGGGATTCCTTAACATCGGCAAACTCCCAGGCGAGATATTCTCTTAGAAGAGATAGATGCAATAAGTGGAACGTCTTCACTTCTGAATCCGTTCGCTTCGGTTTCTTCTTCTGATCATTTTTCCTTGGGCGCGTATTGAAAGTGACCTCCTCTCGGAGTAGCGAGAAATGAGGTTCATGAGAAACGATTCCTAGCATTATTAGATCAGCATCGAGTCCGTACATGCAGTGGCGCGTGTTCGGATCGTATCCAGTTCCCGCGCGCTCGGAACGGATGAAATCCATGATTTTGTGTTCTCCTTCTCCAGGGACCTGTAGCAATCGATACTTGGAATTATTATACATTACTTTAAAACAAACTTTTTCGGTTGATTTCCGGCGTTCTCAGGAGTCTGAAGATCGACTGTCGAGTTTCCGATCAGTTTGAAAATTTTGGAGGGTACAAAACAGAATAGATTGGGAACTTTGCATTTACAGAATTTTTTGATTCCTTCTATTTTCCGATTTCCAAAAAATACCCCCCGTTTTCAGTACAAAAACTAGCCGAAATGGTGTCTTTTAGAATCGGTAAATAGAAGGAATTTTCCAAAAATTCTGTGAATGCAAAGTTTTCAATCTAGGTCTGTTCCACACCCTCCAAAGTTTTCAAAGTGATCGCAACCTTAACAGCAGGGCTCCAGACTCCTGAAAATGGTCAGAATAACCAAAAATCATCTAAAAATACGTTTTTGTATATCTTATCAACCGGTACTATAACACAAGAAAGACTTACATTGTGACCACTAAGAATGATCTTCCGACCTTGCCAACGGGTGTCGGACACTGATTTCTCTCTGACCCATGCATCAAGTTTCTCGTGCAAACGAGTCATGAAGTAAGTTCCAGGAGTAATACAATTCGAGTCGAATCTCTTCTCACTCGGCAACACTTCTCCTTTCGCAATGGCTTGATCCATTTGCGTCTGAGCAGTTCTGGCAGACATGAATCTTCTCGCTCTTTGCTGGTTCATTTTTGCTCGTGGAGCTACGCCGTCAACGGCCATGAAAAATACTTTTTGAGGTTTGATCAAGTTGTAGAGATTCTGAAAAGAATTTAATTATAAAGGCTTCCTTCAGAGAACTCACTTCTATGTAAGCAAAAATATTGACAAATATCTCTTCTTCAGTAATTCTAAATGTCACATCATCATCGTTCGGATGTGAGCAGTTGTGAATGATTCCGTTCATGTCCAAATAGAGGTTATCGAATTCCGGGATTTGCGACTCATTGATCACCTCACTCAGACACGGATATCGTTCTGACGTCCATCGATAGAACTTTGGGACTCCCATTTTCTAGGTGAGACTAGTTCCAGTAGAGTATAGACTAGCTATAATACTTTAGGCTGAAAAAAATACCAGTTGTACCATAGTGATTTCAGGGCAATTGTCAAGGTGAAGATGTCAAAACATTAGTTAACATTTCGCAATTAGTCTACGCATTGCTAATTTTGCCTTTAAAAAAAGATAAAAATATTACATAAATTTGGCAAAACTAATTTCGTTTCAAGATGATTTTGAAGACAAGAAAATTTGTTTCTTTCAATGAAAATCGGTTCAGAAGAATAAAAGAGCTTAAATTGAAACTAATCTCATTTTAACTGTATTTTTGTCAATTCATGCTTTGAAGTTAACTGAAAATAAAACAAAAAAACAACCTCAATTTCATTAAATATCGAATTAAGACACTCTTTCGTTAACAAAATTTTAAATGCAGTGCATTTGAGCTACAAACTGGACTAGATAATTTTAAAACTTTTAAACAAAACAAGCAAATAACCCAAATTTTTTTGCAAAACAGATCCCAGAAACATCGTGGAATCCCAACAACCTGCTGGGACTAAAAAACCCAAAATTCGCCACCGATTTTTCGGAAAAACCGCGCACGACGCAGAGAGAAGAGAGCGCAGACGACGAGAGCATTCGTCGAGAGAGCGTGGCGAAACGCAGAGAGCGCAGAGAAGGGACAAGCCGAAATTGTCTTGAGATTGTTTATCCGATATATCTCGGTTTTATGCATTTATTGAACCGAATTGTTGAACAAAAATATGAGATTAGTTGAAAAGAAAAAAAAAAGAACGGGGTAAAATGTGGATTTAAAGATTCTCAGAATTCGTCAGCGTTGAGAAAGAGGAAGAAAAGAGGGGAAAATAAATTTGAGAATCGACAGTATTAAATGGGCGAAAATTTGAAAACATTGTACAAAATAAGGGCAATCCAAGTAGAAGAATCGTTCGTCTACCATCTCTTATGAGTCGACTGATTTCCAATCCATTTCCAGACGGCACACTCGTTTCCAGATGGGAGAACGATGACATCGGTGGCGACGCGCGACTCGTTGGTGTCGATGAACTTGACGGCTTGCTCCCAGCGGTTCATTTCAGCGGAGCGTCTGAAAAGAAAAGATTTAGAAGACGATTGAAAGCAAATAGATCTCCTGACCTCTTCGATGGAGGGAACATGACGTCGCGAACATGTGGCTGAGATACGTACGGATCCCCATCAGCAGACGATTCTTTGATGAGCTCGGTGATACGATCGATGAGCTCGTAGAGCTTTGTTTCTTCAAGCTCCTTTGCTTCTTTGTATTTACGATGACCGAGATAGATTCCAGCTCCAATGACAATCACTGAAAATTCATGAATTTATACTAATCAAGAAAAAAAAACTCACATAGTCCAAGCGAAACGATTGGGAGAATGGCGTAGTTATAGAAAAAGTTGAGTGTATCTCTCCCAGCAGCTTTGAATACTCCCCAATATCCAGCAAAATCCGCAGTCTTTGGCTGGTGAGTGGTTAGTGCGTAGGCAACGACGAGAACGACGAACAGTATGACAAGCGCATACAATGCGACGTAAATAGCATCGTTGAAGACGTTCGACTGCTTCACAGTCACTTTGCCGGTCCGTGGATTCTTCTGAACACGGATTCGCGATGATCCTGCACGAAGATCATAGCTATCTCCTGGGATTTTGGAAGCATTGAATCCATAACCCAGAACCTTGTTCCATGCGTTCTTCACTATTCCCTTCGGAGGCTCCTCACTCTTGTAGATGATTCTGCTGGCCTCCTGGCCTTCATAATCGTCCTCATCTTCTTCCCCTGTGGTATTTCCCAAATCATGGAGCGTCTTTGAGACTTTAGAAGTGTAAATAGATCTTCTCGGTGGCGTAGCTCCAGGACGATCGCTTCCGAAAGTAGCGAAGCTCGGAGTGAAATCAGTGATCAAGCCTGGAACAGGCACGTGGATATTCTTGGGAGTAGTTGGAATGCGAGTCGTAGTATTGATGGTAGTTTTAGTAGTGGATGTTCTAGCCGATGATGGGATTGATGGCTTGCTGATCACTGGCGACAACCTCTTTGTTGGAGTTGAGGAGACCGGACGACCTCTTCCGACACTAGTGGATGTAGTGTTGGCGCTACGGAATGAAGCTTGACTTTTTGGAGAGAGAATCTCGTCTTGTTCTCCATCTTCATCGGAATCGCTCATTTCTTCGGCTTCCGATCGATTGAACGTGGAGTTTATGGTGCTGTTGGCAGCAGGACGACCCACCGAACGACGCGAGGTGTTAGGAGATTTTTCAGCATTTCTAGCTGGTGACTTTGGTACTGCAATGGGCTTTGGAGTTGGTTTGGGAGCAGGTTTTGAAGCGGCAGATGGCGTCGGACGAGCTGGAGTCTGAAAATTGACATTTAGAACATCATCAATTTTAGAATTATTTTTAGCAACTAACCTTTCCTCCTGCCGCAAGCAACTTTTTCAGTTTCTTTTCGTACAACGAACGAGTTGTTCCAGTGACTGGCCCAACATTCGCTCCGCGCACATTGAGCTCGGCACGCAACTCGGCGTCCGACATCTTCTCAACGTCCACCATCTTGTTCTGCTCTGAAATAGTGATTTTGATGAACGATAATGATTTCAGAAGCAACAACGCCGTCAATTAACAAACATGTGGTGCGAAAAACTGATAAAAGCGAGTGGGAATGGCGTTGATTTTCGAAGCATCGCCTAAAGTTTCGGGTTACGAAATTCAAATTATTGCGGCGGGAAGTGGCAGTGGAGCGCGGATGCACTCATTTAGGCTTCGCCCGAGACCCCGGAAATTCCGGGGAAAAAAAACTCCGGAGAAAAGTGGGCGGAGTCGGGGGCGGAGCTTAAATTGCAATCCTGGCACGGTTTTTTCTGCACATTTGGACATGGTCATGAGGGGGCGGAGCTTAAAATGCAACCCTGGCACTGTTTTGCCGCACGGTTTTTTTTGCACATTTGGATACGGTCATGAAGGGGCGGAGCATAAATTGCAACCTTGGCACGGTTTTTTCGACTCCGCCCACTTTCCCCCGGAGTTTTTTCCCCGGGAGATTTTTTCCCGGAATTTGAGGGGTCTCTCCGCCCACTTTCTCCGGGAATTTTTTCCCGGAAAATTGCTCAATTTTCCGGGGAAAGTGCGCGGAGTCGGGGGCGGAGCATAGATTGCAACGCTGGCACGGTTTAGGCTCCGCCCCTGACCGCTAACTTTTTCGGGAAATTTTTCCTCGAAATTTGTTTTCTTTCTGTTTTTTTCTCAATTCAGAATCCGAACGGCGTCGGATTTCACACAAAGTAAAAACTGACAGATTTCTTTATTCACATCAAAAAATTATTGAAATTCTTTTTTTCTGTGATAATAATATAAAGAGGTTCAGTGTGATTGTAAGACAGGCTGAATGCCAAATGTTGGAGCTTCGCAATTCCTTGAATCAACTTTGCAGTGTCCACGACTTCAACGTTCATTTTGACCTTCGTCGGTTGTCTGAAACTAGCACATTCTTATGAAAATTGAATAAAAATATTTGTAGCTCTTCTTACATGGGAGCCTCAGTGTTAAAACCAGGTACAATACAGGAGGCATCACAGAGGTGCAATTGAACGCAAGCAGAATTATCTGGTTCGAGTTTTTTCAGTTGGGCGTATAAATCTCCGAGAATGTCCTCCACTAAACCAAAATTTAAATTATAAGGCTTCTAAAAATTATATTTACCAACAGACTTGCAAACTTTCTCGGCGACATCATTGAACCCCAGAAGTGCCTCACATAGTGCTTTGGCATCTTTTATCAAACTCTGACTGTCAATTGCACTATCTATCACACTAACGACTTCTTTACATCGAGTGCAAAGGAAAGTGAAAAAGTTCTGAATCTTGTGAATGATGTCCCCAAGGTCTTCTTTTCCACTGTCAGCAGCTGTGGATGATGCAAGAAGGACGAGGAATGTACAAAAGAACAATAACTTCATATCATAAAAACAAGGAAAGAGAGCAGAATGAAGTTAGATACTAAACGCTGGTGGTTAGTTGATAAGTAGAAAAATAAATGAGGGGGGGGGGCAAAAATCAAAACAATTTAGTAATCGCCATCATCATCGGTGTCTTCCCCCTCAAAATAGGCCTCGTAGCGTTCTTCGTTCAGGTTCATGCTGAAAAAAGGAGAATTTATAGGGAGAAAGTAGAAAAATTCATACTTTTGAATACGCCGATTGAAACTCTCGTCGGCGTAGTTTTCTCCAGCGTGCCAACGGCCAGGCTCCAACATTCCGTAGGAATCTCCATGATCGCTATCCTGTAAAATCACAAATAAATAATTTGAATGAAAAGTAATAATTCAAAATATACCATACCTCATCATAGGAATCCTCATCCGGATAGTCGTTCCGCCAGTTGTTCTCATCATTGGAATCGTCATCGTCATCTGCAGGCGGCCCATCTGAATCCTCGTCGTCGTCCGGAAGGTTGAGCTCGTCTCGATTAGCAAACTGAAACTCGGCTCCTTCGATGTCGGCATCCCAATTCTCGCCTTCCACTCCTGCCGGATTTCCACGTCTTCCGTGAATTGCATAATAGTCGTAAACAACATCATCTTGAGCAGGAGGAGCGGCTGAAGCAGCAGCATTGTTTGCAACCGGCTGGAGTAATCTCCCGTTCAGCTGAACTTGCGCTTTTTCTTGTTTTGCCTCTGGCTTTTCGACTTCTCCTACCAACCCGACAGCTTCATCTCGTACGAATCCGAGTGGATTTTCTTGCTCCAATACAATAGGATCTTCTGAAACAAAATTAACATTTTTCTTTGATTGTTCAGCTTCAGACTTACCTTCCATAAGATTAGGCAGATCCAGGACGCGAGCACCGGTAATTTCTTCATCGGTTCCATCAGCAGCCGCTTTGAAAAGTGTGAAGACGAGCGCTGGTTTCGCTCGTTTAGTGAGAATCAGAGCTTCGTGAGGATCAGCAGTGCGTTTTCTGCTAACTCTGATCAACGGAGCGCTCATCTAGAATATCTTGAAGTTTTTAGCTGACTGGGTGTTCATTGAAGTAAATAGTTAAGGGTGTTTCAACCCAGAATAAGAAAAAAACACAATGACAGTTGTAAAAAATCAAAAAATCATTTTTTGAGATTGTGAAAATAGAGATCAATACAAGACACATTAATTGTATCCCCGTTCAGTGTCTGTCGACTGTGTGCACTTTTTGATAGCGGAGTCAATACGATGTTCGAGAAGTGATAACTCTCCAACCAAATCCGTGATAGCGGTGGTAAGCGCGTCGGCTGGAGTTGTTGCATTTGTAGTTTGAACTCGCAGCAAGATTTTGTGTTCGAGTGGATGGGGATTCTTGTAGCCAGCGAACAACACCTCTGGATCTTTGAGAAGCTGACTGAAACATGAAAACCGATGAATGATTAGTTTTTTCGAAACCGTTACATTTTCAACATGTTTCCCAAAGTGTGATCCTCCTTATTTATTGTGAAAATCGCTGCATTTGGCACCTAAAATTATTGAATTTTATAAAAAGCAAAGAATTTCGAAAAACCCACTTTTGTGTCTTTTTCGATGTAGATCTTCTTGTCATCAAGGAGAAGGAATGATTCGAAAGCAGCTGGAGCATTCATTTCTGAGAAAAATTACATGATTTTGGTGAAATTTTACCTGAAAATAGCAAAAAAGAAAGATTTCGTTGAAAAAATTTAATTTGAAAGCGAGAAGGCGCACTTTTTGTGCACACTGGCGCATTTCTCGTTTTGCGCGGGTGTTTGAATTAGGTCGACAGAGGACAGGAGTCCTCTTGAGCTCAATTGAGCGGATTGGCTCCGCCGAGAAAACTACGAACGAAGCGGATGTTTACCGAACTTTTAGAGATCAACATCGGATCTGCGAATTGAAAGATCGTATCAAAAAAAGTGTTCTCATTCTTTGCTCTTCCCATCTCACCCCCCCCCCCCCCCGACTCCCGGTGTTGATCTGTTTGTTCAATGGTTTTTTCAAAAAGTGTTTCGTGATACATATACTTAACTCGATGTTGTTAGTTTCCTTTCAAGAGCGGGGGATGTCCCCCTTACTCCGTCTACCGTAACCCGTGTTTGCTGCTTCTGGTTTTGCAAGAAGGAGCCGATTTATAGTTTCGCCGGAGGAGAGGTGTCATGGGTCCAATTTTATAGCCGAGGAGGCCTCCTCGGCCGGAGGTGTGGCGGAGGTGGCATAGATGTATTTTATTGTATTTTGTGACGCAAACTGCAAGATGGAAAACAAGGAAAAACGGGCAAACCGGTTCAAGCGAGCTTGGATTATTTGAAAACCTAACGAGTAAATGCGCTCAAACGCTAATTTTTCAAAGAGTGCGCTGGTCTCGACACGAAAGCTGCCTGCATTCCATCGGGAAAAGCGCGGGGAAACAAACTATTTTTCGAAAACTTTCCGGAAAAACACCATCGGGAAATAGTCCCGGTCAACTTTAATCCAAAACGTTTGAACTTTACCCCGCGAGCAAAATAAAGACGATTCAACAAAAAAGCCGAGAGAAAGTTTGACCAAGTGGCTCGCCATTTGATCTAAAAATAGGGGCGAGGTTAGTAAATAGCACCTATTCTTAGACTTCGATTAGGTTACTCTATACTATTAAGTTGACATAATATCGTAAATAGAAAAAAAAAACGAATGAACCGTTTCGTTAGTTAGCCATCCCGAGACCGCCCATTTAGATAAGTTTGGATAAGTTTTTTTTGTAAACCGATTCTTAAATGTTCCTCTTTTTTATGTCTCTGTGTAACAGTAGAGAACAGATGATACCTTTTCAGAGAAAGTGTAAAACTGGATATATAGGAGGAGGAGGATGAAGAACGGTGTTTTTCGTTAATGACAAGCAGAGAGAAAATAACGAAGAAGGTGAAAAGGGGAACGAAATTGTTTAGACTATGTGTATGCGTTTTGCAGAAAGGAAAATAGAGATCTTGTATACTGTTTAATGCCCACTTTTTGTTGTGATCGTTTTCTAGATTACTGTAATGACGTTTTTACAAAGTTCAGCTCAAGAAATCTTGTCAATTGACTACTGTATATTGTGGGTCTACAAACCATGACCCAGAAAAAACATCAGTTTTCTATAAATTGCCTTTCAAAAAGTACAAGTTTAATTAGGACGAGACCATAAACCCTTCTGGCCTTTCATGTTACATCGGACATCATGTGGCAGGTGTTCCACTCGTCTCATCTGTTTTATTAAAACTGTATCTGAAAAGTGAACATCCCAGCTTGTCGAGACGACAGAATTACGAGTGTAATGAAATACACAAAATCGTTTGTCTAGAAAAGCATCTGTCTAGAAAATTATGGACTTTTTCAAAATATATTCCTAATTGTACTATTCTGTTACAAAATATCAGTGCTCCAACGACAACTTATGTAACCTGAATTTTAGCAATTTATCGAGAGGAAAACTTATTTTTTATTTGATTTTTAGGGAAAATTTTTAGACCTTTTTAGGGTTTTCAGCTATTTTTAAAGGTTCTTTTTCGATTTTTTCGGCTTTTTCGGTCTGAAATTTGATGGAACGTTGTTTGCATTACTGTAGACTACTATAGAAACCTAATTTCCTTTCGTATTTTTTTTTCAAACACGATCACGTCAAAATGCAAATAAAAATTGGGCTTTCTAAGATTTCTACAGTAATCTACAGTAATCTTCTGCCAAGAACACCATCCCGTCAAAATTCAGACAAAAAATTCGGAAAAATCGGAAAAGAATCTTCAAGAATAGCTGGAAAACTTAAAAAGGTCTAAAAATTTTGCGAGGAAATCGAAGAAAAAATCAATGTTTTTTTAAAATTTTCGGGATTGATTGTCTCGATTTTCGTGAAGTTTCCGTCGCTTTTACCCTTATCAAAGCTTTAATTTCCCGGGTTCTTCTGGTAAAATAACTGAAAACTTGACAGAAACGCACAAAAATCGAGAAAATAGATATGGAAAGACACTTGTAGTTTACGGTTGTTGTCGCTATCTTCTACAGCTCCGATTTATTAATTCTTGAGAAACTTTTTCTGCGGTTTCAGCTGAAAAAGTTTTCTTTGGAATCTCCAAATCGTTTTGAATATTCTAGGTTAAATTTGGTATATTTTAAACCTCATCAACTCTATTTTTTATAACTGCAGTTAAAGTTCAAGCTCAAAATGAGACCTGTGAACCCATCGATCTCACCTCAAACTGTATTTTGGTCTCGTTGATTTTTTGAACACCCTGCCTATAGACTACTTCCTACTTCTTCTTGAATCTTCCCACACCTACAATTTGAATATTCATATCTATGCAAACATGGAGCTCTTCCTCCATCCATCCACACTACAATTCCTATTATCATATCACCCATCCCGCCCCCTATTCTTTTCTTCTCCATCTTCTTTTTCTTCTTCTATTCCTTCCACATCAGCCCTCCCATCAAAACCATAAACTCCTTCGTGTCGGAGAAGAAACGGAGCGCGGGTCCCCCATTTCTTCCAGTCGTCTATCATTGCCTTTTTCGTGTTTGTCTTTGTTTTGGCTCCCCTTTTTCTTTCTTCTTTTTGTTGGATGAGACTTTCGAAGACAGGCGGTCTCTTGACTACAGTAATCTGTAAGCCTTGACTACAGTAATTCGGGCGGTCTTTTGACTACAGTAATCCGTGAGTTGTTTGGGTCGCTCGAAGAACCAAGGAGTATTTGTTATCAGAGAGATGCGTCAACGTCCGGTTGGGGAGAAATGACAATTTCTGATAAGTTTATAGTTTCCAGAGCATAAAGTGATGCTTGTTAGATACATGAGTAATGTCGTAGTAAGGTCGGAAGATCAAGTTGGGATACTGTGGATCCATAAAAACCAAGGATACAGTACTTGTCAATAAGATATACAAAAACGTATTTTTCAGTTGATTTTCCGCCGTTTTGGCCGTTTTCAGGAGTCTGGAGCTCGGTTGTCAAGTTTCTGATTACTTTGAGAATTTTGGAGGGCGTAAAACAGATCTAGACTGAAAACTTCACATAATTTTTTTTGGAAATTCCCTTATTTTCGATTTTTGAAAGACACCCCTTTTTGGTCAGTTTTTGTACTGAAAATGTGAAAAAACCGGTGTCTTTCAGAAGTTGGCAAATAGATGAAAAACTAGGAATTTTCAAAAAATTCCATGAATGCAAAGTTTTTAATCTAGGTCAGCTTTACATTTAGAAAAGCTTAAGAGGTAGTTAGAAGTTCTGAGCTTATGAGGTGGCAACCTATCAATCAGAAGCTACAGTAATCCTAAAGAAGATTCAGCAATTAGAAACCTTAGTAACCTCAAAGAAGCTACAAAAGTTAGGAGCTACAGTAACCCCAAAGAAGCAACAGCGGTTAGAAGCTACAGTAACCCAACAAAATTCTTGAACATCTTTCGATCCCCGAGTCTTCCAAGAACTAAAGAGTAAATCAAAAAAGTTGTTTATTCGAAAATCAAAGTATTGGGTGTTATCTATCTTTTGCTAAATACGTCTCTCCTGCTTATCACAGACATTTTCGAAACCTCATGACTGTCTTCTTCGTCGGACAGTTTGTGATTCGATGAGAATCAAAAGATTCAGTACGCGCGTTTCTCACTACAGTTCAGCCCCACCAGTGCTTTTCTGTGACCAGGTGACGTCTCTGTCTTGTTGAAACAAAATTGATAGGGTTTGGCAGGCCCAGAGAACACGATGATTTAGGAACATGTAGATACGGAAGTTCGGTGATTGACGACCCCTTTACCAATTCCCCAGTCTAGTCGATCTTCTAATCCCAGAAGACGTCAACAAAAACATTTGAGTGTGGGCGAGAAAAAAAAACATGCTCGTCGTCGACACAGGTGAAAATTGTAGTCGTCGCTGCAAATTGGCACGTCTTCGGAAGCAAAAAAGGAGATAGACGACTGGTTTTATGGGCTCTATAGGGGTTACTGTAACAAGTGTTTCGACGATGACGAAGGAAGGAGAGCAGCTTGATTTTAAAGTCGAAGGTCTCACAACGACAACTATCGTAACCTCAAAATTTAGCGATTTTTCGAAAGAAAAACTTTTTAAAAATTTGATTTTAAGAAAGGATTTTTTGTCTAAAATTCGATGGAACGTTGTTTTGATTACTTTAGATTACTGTCGAAACCTAATTTCCTTTTGTATTTTTTCAGCAAATACAATCACGTCACAATGCAGATGGAAACTTATCTTTTTAAAATACAAAAAATATGGGTTTCTAAGTAATCTACGGGTAATCTTCCGTCAAAAACACCATCCCGTTAAATTTCAGACAAAAAATTCGGAAAAATCAAAAAAGAATCTTTAAAAATAACTGAAAACTCTAAAAAGGTCTAAAAATTTTCCCTAAAAATCAAAGAAAAAATCAATTTTTCTAGATTTCTGTGCAGTTTGAGCTACTTTTTTATCACTATCAAAAACTTCAATTTTCCGATTTTTTGGGGGAAAATAACTGAAAACTTGACGAAAATCTTATTTATTCTCGGGGCTTTTTTTACAGAATATCTGTTTAAAATTGTCAAAAAATCATAAAAAACGGTCCAAGAATCGTTAACATAGGCCTAAATTCCTGAAAAATGGTTCAAGTATATGTAAAAACATGTCGTCTG